AACATTAAAAACTATTTTGAAATATAAGTAAAATATCTACGAAATATGTATAACTATGATCTATAGGTCTATAGGATTTAATAAACTAAACACACTTGAATAACTTGAGAAAATCATGAAATAAACAATAGCTAACACTATCACACACAAAACTAGATGTCACGAACAAAACTTCGTATCAGATGAACACTTCGTATACACAATATCGATATTTACATGTATCGGAACTGTATCGGGCATCCCTAATCAGATACAATATATGTTTTACATAATGTTAGTCAATTTGTAAATACTCCACTCCCAAAACACTAGTATCTCGAACAATCAAACTATCGTACGAAATTAGTCAGTGAAACAATCCCAATGAATTTGTTTAAGAAACTCAATGTTGTATCCACCTGAATCATTTCCAACAACATGCTACTTAATACCTACCAAAAGAAGAAAATACGAAATGAAGAGATGTTAAACGATAAAGTTTTCAGCAATGCAATCAATTATTTTCCACGCGGGACCCTCATTAATGCGAGTCCCGACGTTTTTTTTATGCCGTTCGTACAAAGACCGACATACAATATGGCCGCTCGTTTTATATTCGGTCACTCCATCATCCTGTATGATTATTCATATTTGTAACTTCAGGCTTCGTCCCGGTCGTATGAATCAAGACCCACGGAACGGGGCTCCGGGCCGTGAATTCAGCTACGATAATAAATCGTCGCGAATCGCTGATTCACTCTTTATATGCTCATTTATGCGCGCGAGCTTTTTCCTGAAATAGATGCACGCGCGCATACGTATGCGTACGACACCGAATTTGTTTCTCTCTTCGGGAACAAAAATTCGAGCTGACTCGCTCGCCCCTCGTAAAATATTGAAACAACTGCTGGATTATTTACGATCGTCTCGCGTTGCAAGTGTCCACCGCGAGTTTAACAACCAAAACCATGTTCGAAAAGTATTTTTTTTCTCCGATTGAAACCGGTCTGCAACCGTATTTGGAATTGATTCTTCAAAGATACGCTTGATTATTGTCTATTAAATAATCGTTCCCATCGAGAACCGGACTGATACACAATTTATATTAAAAAGAATGTCGGTTCACTTTGATTTCGATGCACTGATTTAACTATTTCTAGAGAACACTGACCCAATTTTTATGAGAACACCGATAAACTCTCGTAATCAGTGATGCATATGCTTTGATTTTATATACAGATAGTAATACTTATTAATAATATTCATTCATGAATGTATAATCTACTATTCCAATCCGTGATACCAACATTTTTATCTCCTCGAATCGTATCTCTGTAAGATAAGTATCGAAGTGATTCAATTCCACAATGAAATCGACAAATGTTAAGTTTCCCTACCTCAGATTACTATATCCTTTAATATTATTATAAGACCGATAGTCATCGGAGTGACTTACGAATCGGATTACTTTTTGTACCCCAAAAATGTTTTTCATTCAATTAACATATATCACGCCCGTTTAATTAAAGTCCTATGAATAAATTTTCCGACAGGATCCATTTTCTTCTGGAACGACCAACCAGGATTCCACAACGGTCGTAAAAATAAGATGAACCACGAGGGAAGTCGAGCAATATAAAATAATGATCGCACGGATGTAGAACGAAAGCCGGTGAATTACTTTTTTTTTCCACCCGTCTGCCCTGCACTTTTTTCTCCAGGCCTGGTAATAAAGCGCGTCGTTTAGCCGAAATGAATTTATGAATACTTCGCGGCGACATGGAAATGCGCACCGGCTTCCAATTGCCACTTCAATAGGCGCTAACGCAGATAAATGGCCCTAACCGTAATCATCGACGCTTCTCGTCGCTTCCAGGAGCTTTTCTATTAATGTATTCTGCAAAACTGCTTCGCTCCGTATACATTACCGCGAAACATTGTTACGAACTTATTATAGGGGAACCTGTTGTACCTCGGACATGGTTGTACCACGGTCCTATATCCAATATTAAATGTTCGTGGATTTTTTTTTTGCAAAATTGGCAATACTGGTTTATACGTAATCTACAAGAAGGCCTACAAAAGTTAGTCGCACATACATACGTGATACAAGTAGCGAACTTGTTAATAATTTGCTGCATTAATATCCGCAATCTAGTAATATTTTTTAAGATACAAAACTGATCTCAGAACCCTGAATCGATCAAACATTCCTCAATCCTCATGTTCAATTCTGCCATCTCTTAAAACCTTAACCCGTTTTCTTTACCACCGTGACTGCCAGATAATTCCCCACATTATCTTCACAGTCCTAGAACACTCACACCGACAAAACGCAGGCTGCCCGAGCCACCAATTACATTACACATATTAATTAATTAACATCACGCTAGAACACGTATCATCTTTATAAAGCTGACATGGTAATCAACGTGTTAAACACCCTGCATAATTCTCTCCAGGATCAAATGAGGCCCGATCCGCAGAAGGTCAAAGCGCTAAAGCCCGTCAAGATAGCTACCAGAGGCTAGCCTGAAAAAGTGCCCGGCACGCAAAGGGGTTAATTTACTCGAGTCGGCACGAAAGAATCTCGCGCGTCGGTTCTCCCCTTGCTCGATCAAACGAAGATTCAGGGAACAAAGCGAGCCGAGGGATTCCAATTAGAAAGAAGACGCAACCAGCCAGTAACCGGTAGCCCTCTCCAGGACCTGGCGAGAAAAATCCGTCGCCATCCGAACCGAGGGATTCCACTAATTCGATTCCAACCAGACGGGATTTGTTGTTTCCCCCCCTTGATGCTGGTAAGCGTGGAAACATAGATTCGCCGGAAGCCGATAAGGGAGGGAAAGCATCGGACCGGTGCGTAAGCTCGGCATGCAGGAGGCCGAACGGGGCAAGCGCGTTGCTCGGTAACAGAACGGATGTATCGGATGTCCAGATCTCTCAACCTGCTGCTGCCGTGCAGGGATTTTTCGTAGCTCAACGACCTGCTGACCACTCTCATGTGATATCCGATAACGTCCACGGAGGTCCTTATTATACCCAGCAGGACACTGGCTCTCTCACGACTTTTACGGATTCCCCCCCGCGCGCCGGGAATATCCGCTTTCTGATCAAACGCTCGTCCTATCCGAGGTGGGACGATAGAAACCGGCGGTCGTGTGAGAACGTATTTTCGGATCGCGAAACTCGGGGAAATATGGACAAGGGATTAACCCTTTGCGGTTCGACGCGCAGCTAAAACTGTAAATACGGTTGCTTCGAAGTATTTTCGCGTGGTAACACCCATTAGTCGCCAATATTTTTGCGTGGTAACCCATTGGTTGCAAATATTTTCATGTGATATTTCGTGAGCTGATTGGAAGTATTTTTACGTGCAAAGACGGTTAGTTGCAAATATTTTCGCGTGTAACTCGGATTGGTTGGAAATATTAAACAAATTTTTGCAATCTAACAAAACTACTATTTTGCTATCATACCGTTTCAAAATATTACATTTTATACTTTTCTTGGATTCGATACGATTGATCTGAAATTACTTTACCAATAAACAAGTGAATATCATGATGATGAGTATGTTCTGGTTTTTGACCACGAATGTTTAACTTGCAGAAATATAACGAAAATGTAAAGTATTTGAAATTATGTATTTTATAAGGATAAATCAATAGCAGTAATCAAGCTGAGATTAAACAAAGAATTATAAATAGTTCATACACACAATTAATCGCGACATAACGATAAAAAAAAATAGCGACTTGTGTGTACAACAGAGAAATTACACGTTATTCATGGTATCAGTTCCATGGCTTATTAATGGGATTAATTCGAGGTCGGTGAACTATCTTATTGCCTTCATTTACTCGCTTTGTATGCGTCGTACGACTGTCGGGGCTAACTAATGCACTGTATTATACCAAAGACTATACGTATTCATCTTAACGGCACTTTCATTCAATCCGTCGTTTGCGGTATTAGATAGACGTGCAGAAATTACACGTTTTACATGGAACAATATTAGTACCGTCCATAATAATTAATACCTCACCGATACATTTGTATCCGTACCGTGGGACATACTTTTATACAATCGTGACTGTACTGTATATTTGCGTTACAATGAACCATGCCTGGATTTAAATTTGTAACTAAAAAATAATTAAATCTGGAGGAAAGTACAACTACAATTCAGGACCCCTTAAAGATGACAATTTAAAAAGATATAAAATCATTCAAATTTAAAAAGTGGCAAAACTATTATAAATCCCTCTTTTTATGTGTTTGTACTTGTTTATACTTATAGTTTATCCTCAGATATTTTAACAATGACGATTTTTTTAATGCATATGTACATTTTCTGTTTTCACACATAAATACAATTTTTTGCAATTTATATGCTACATTTGGAAAAGTTTCAATTTCTGCATCAAAGCATGTAAAAATTTACGTTAAAAATAAATTGGAATGTGAGAATTCTTTTTTGTACATATATTATGTTTTATAGGGAATTCTGAGTATGCAGTAAAATGAAATGAAATATAAAGAAAAGATTTTCCACTTCCTGGAAACCTGTTTATAAAGACAGTCTTATGTTCTTACCCACGAATAAAAATAATTTCTCGCGTATAAACAAAATCCAATGTATTGAGCTCCAACAAATGAAAAAACATTTGCCAAAAACAATAATGTAAAAACGGCTTATCTTCGTCACTATCTAGTTGTATTTATCAAAAACTCTTATGATATGTATTTAATGTCCTTAAAAATAAATACTGAATTTGAGGAAAAAGATGCATTACTAATTGACACACTTAATAGCATTTACTTAAAACATGAATTCAATTCCTCAAACCAAATCCACTATGCAATCATTCAAATAAATTTTAACACCATTAAAGAGTTGAAATTACTTAAAACAGTCCAAATGCAAAGTATCGAAAATACGTTAATAGCGACGCAGTTGAAGCCGCCATATTAACAGTTACAAAATGAAACTTCAAAGTATGTAAAGTTTACGTTACCTGACTTTCCGACTCTGGGGCCGCCGAGGACGACCACCCTGATCCTGTTGACGTTTGTCATCAGACGTGGATGTTAGGTGTCATCCGAGCTTCGCTTGCACATTATATACTCTTCAATTGACACTATTCGCGTTGCTTTTCACTCTGCGCGCCGTCCGTTTCGTTTTAGCGGCATTGAGGTCCATTTACATCGCGCACGCGCGCGTAAGGACACTCGCCGCAAGGGTTTATGGGTAACGAGCACAAGCGCGCCACAAAACGAATATTCAAAAACACGGTTTTCCCGTGTCGAGCTTCTATTTGTTCAAGTTGCAAACTAACCAATAGCACTGGTAACGTTGATCACTTGTTCCGTTTCCACTAATCACGTCGAATAGTAGGGACAGCTCAGCGATGTACTCGAAGCCACGATGTTCATTCTATGCACGCTCCCCAATGGTGCGATAAACTCTGTTGAGTAAGGACCACCGTTTTAACCGCGACGACACGTCGATCTTTCGAAACGTCGCTCGAATGTGATTCACTACACGACCGTTGCAGTCCTCTCGCGAAGAACTCATGGACCGTGCGCCTCGAATTGTTACATCCAATTTAAACGACTGGCGTAACGCGACAACTAGCTCACCGAATTCGTTGAACGAACTGCTATTTAGTTCCAGCGATTCGACACAGACACACACACGCACGCGCGATTTCCAAACATCGTACACACTAGTCCTGCTTCCGGTTTTATCCCTCGTCGAAATATTTGTCGCACTGAACACGGCCCGAAAGTTTCTCGACTGACAATGTCACAGGCTCGTCTCTTGCGTCCCGTCGTTGAAAATGCCACCACTTTCTGTCCCCCTCGATTTCTCGTTCCTCACCGATTTCTCTTTTTTGTTCCCCTCGAAAACTTCACTTTCCACGTTCGCCGCGGCTCGACTGCATCAACCACCTCTGGACCCACGTCTCGATTAAATGTCGGCGTACGACGGCGGCGCTCCGGTCGCGTCGCGGGAAAACATGCGGGCCAGCGCACCGCGACACGCTGCGAATAATAACACAAGAAACGATTCAAGAAATGCTGTCTTGCTAGTTCCATTTATAACGGGTCGACGGCCTCCCTCTCCTCATCTTCTCTTGTCGCTTGGCGCCGCCAACGTCGGTCGCCCCGTTCGGATTACAAAAAGGAAAGAAAAAAAGAGGTTAGACGCGTGCACGCGCGCGCGCACCAGCAGCGGAACCGCTTGCTCCGTTGGACGGGCAGACGAATACTGGAAGCAAAGCTGCGCGGAGAACTAAACTCCCGAGCACCGCCCACGTGGCTCTCGCAATTCCTGCGTCGCGCCGTTTGAATTTTTTCATTCTTTGCACGGCAGGAATAACTGTCGACCCATCTGAACGAAATTCGGGACCAAGAATTTTGTTATATTCGTTCACGGTTGTTTCTGACGTTTCCCAATAACTGGCAATAAATGTTGAAAAGGTTTTAGAACAATCACCGAAGAGACATTTATTCAGATAGACCGACACTTTTGGAACTACTTTCTTCGCTGCTGTGGCATGCACGCGCGAACACTTCTGTGGATTAAAGTTTCCCGCGTCGATTGAGGCAGAAGGGAATGCTGGTATTAGGGTGGCACGCCTGAAATGTCATTTTTCTCCGTGAACCTATTTGAACCCTGCCGCTGTTTCGCGCGCAAAAGATTACGGGCGTTTATAATTAACGACAGAAGAATATTTAGGGAAATTTTAGTGAATTCATGTTGCTGAATATTAGACCGTTCTACCGAAAAATTCAACTTTCATAAAGTATTACATTTCGTCCGTAGACCAATACAACGGTTGCTTTTGAAACTAGTATCGTTGTAGAATTATGTATATAAGGAAATTCTTGAAATACTACGTTTCAACCTTGAAAATAATTCGTGTATCAACTTATATGATTCACTTGTTGCGATTTCAGGCACGAGATTAGATAACGTTAATTGACTTTACCGTCCATCAGCTCGTATTGTTGTTTTGAAAATACAGACCGGTGCAATGTCCTTGAAAACACTGCGTTATCTGCGCCAAGACACGAACATTCCGGAACATATCGTACAAAATTGCGAATCATCAATATCTATGTGTTAACAAACGGCGGCACACGTGTAATTAAACCCAGCATTTCCTTCGCGGACAATACACACGTCAGTCAGCTTCTCTTACACGTTGAACACTTCATCGCGGTTTATCGTACTCGCCGTATAACAGGCGCACCTACAGACGTACATATGCGCCATGCGAGAAAAGAATTTAACCTCTTAACCGTGCGTACAAACAAACGCGTTAAAAGAACATTTTTGGGATCGATTCAGGTGTAACGGGAAGTCAATAAATCGTATCGGCACGACCTCCAGAAGGACGACCATCATGTGCAAACATCAAGCAGCGCACATCAAATGTGGCCCATGTTTGTACAAGGAAGGCGGTCTTCTTTCCATAAGAATGGCATGTGATACGATTCGACGTAACGAACGTACGGAAAGCACGAATAAATAAATACCTTGATATCCACTAGCGATAATAAATTCACTCGACGAAGAATTCCACGATCGAAGTTAGTCCCTCCCGTATCTTTTCGTTATTCCACGTCGTAATACGGGACGAGGCGAAACGAAATAATGTACACGGGACGACGAAATATGCGGATGGGAACGAGCACGATACACGGATTGATCTCTGCACCAATCTCACCGAGCGCTCGCCGGCGAATGCTCGAGCTTGAGTGCCTCGCGCTGTCTAATATGCACTCTCCAGTCTGCCCACTGCACGCCTCGACCACGGCATGGCGTACCGCTCGACGCAGACAAGGTGACTGGCGTGTTAACAGGTAAGCGGAGACCGATGCGCGAGCGCTAGTATGCAGGCGCGTGTCCCGCGCGACTACAGGTAACTATGGGAACACTTTTCTCTTTATGGGCACAATAACTTCGTCCGCATCCGAGGTACCGTGCCTCGAATTATCGCGTTATCGTTATCGGATCGAACAAGCTTTTCACCGATGATAATTTCAGATAACAATCGTTGAGCCCGTCATCCGTGATAAAGGTGAACTATAGGTTGCGGAACTTAATCTTATGATGCAGCTCTGCAAAGAAGCTCCTATTTCTACATTTATAAAAATTTTCCTGTAAATTTTTCATTTTTATTGAATAAAATCTAATTACCATTACTGATGAACATTAAGATTGTTAATTTATTTTTATAATTATTATATATCCTTCAGTCCCATGAACTTTTGATAAGAAGATATTATTTATATGCATCTAATTCGTACCTTATCTGTATTTTGAATTCTTTATGCTTGAGCCTGAAACTAACAAGATATTAGGTATAATTCGGAGTGGTGTGTTATGAATGATCGCGTAAATTGTATTCAAACACCACTGTATATTCCCCATGAAACTTTCGTTGGAAACGCATCATAAGGAGCATCTCTACTTTACCGACTGAGTCTAGATGTTTCTTCGCTGATAAATTATACGAAATTGATAATTTGGTATGGTACCCATGGCAACCGTATTAACCAGGTGCTAACAGGAGGAAGTCTTTTCCACCAACGTGGAATTTTGTTTAGAAATATGGATGGGAACGATACAGAACTTATTCACATCGCGAAACCGGAGAAAAAGTCGTTGCTCCAAAGGTACGACATACCGGTCGAGCATCTTTCGTACGAATATATTTCTCAATGTACAAATGGAAAAAAGTTGGAACGTATAGTAACTATACTGCGGTAAGTGTAAACTATAATTCAGCGGGGTTTTCAATTCTTCGAAAATTGAATTTTAATAAACAAATTCGATTGTTGTAAATCCGTGATACAATTTCTAATACATAGTTTGATTCTATTATAACAAAATGGATTATAAATAAACAATAATAATAAAAGGTAATACATTATGAAAGGACATCTAGAACTCGCCTTTTTTTAATTTACAAAATTATATCAAAATTTTGGCACTGATCCAATATTGTCAGCAATATCATTTTTTCGTATCCTCAATTCTTATCAAAACTTCTCAATATTTCTTATGCTTACAAATTCTTTACTATAGAATATTACTGTAAAATTGTACCAATTAAAATAGTTTTTACATCAAATAAATACATACACGGTGTTTTATTAATAGGTCCGGCGAAGAAGGGTATTATCCCGATTTATTGAAACACGCGGAAGAACGGCTGGCCGCTGTTAAGCCAACGAGTATAATTCTAAGAAAATGTGAACCTATTCTAACGCGAAATATGTTAAATCCAAGTGAATCTAAAGAGATTGATAAAGACATTAAACAGTGGGCGTCCGAAATGCAGTCTCGAGAGAAAGATTTAGCGGAAGGAAAGAGTACTGCAATAACAGATCCCATTCCGCAACCGAATGTTAGACAATTTAATGAAGAATCCGTGAAAGTATATTCATTTCATTGTATACTTTTTTCTTCAATTACTACGTATTGCCAATTCTTATTATTTCATTGTGTCGTTTTAAAAGTATATAACATTTAGGGCGTATTTATTAGATTTTTAACAAGAAAACATTATATTTAAGTCACCTTGATTGACTATATGCAAATTCTATTCCCCATAATCCATTTCTTTAAATATTATTTTCTTGATCTAATTAGAAAAATACAGCAACGCGAATGAAAGATTCTAATAAAACAAAACGAATCTCCTCGTGTGATTACGCTGCATGGGATAAATTCGACGTTGACACCGAATTAAGTAAAATTGACATACGGGACGAACAAAAACAGATCGAAGCTAAAAAATTTCAACAAAAGCAAAAAGAACTTAAAGAGAAAAAGAAACTGGATAAAGAAACTATTATTAACAAATGTGAGTTACAACACATCTATAGACACATATACAATACATCCTATAGTTGTTCTGAGCGTTGAATAAATTTCTGTTGATTATATGGAGTAAAAACAAATGCGCACAATTTCATTAGCATCATTAACCGGAACCGAATTAAATGTCATGGCGGAACAAGAAAAAGAAAAAGGAAATGAGGCATTTAGAGCTGGAGACTACGAAGAAGCTCTCGAACATTATAATACTAGCATAAAAATAGACTCAACTGTAACCGCTTATAATAATCGTGCGATGACATGTAAGAAAATTTATCTTTACATTATAATAATTGATATTAAAAATAATCTATTCGCGTATTTTCAGTCATCAAACTCGGTCGCCATGAAAACGCCCTTAAAGACTGCAATTTGGTAATTAGCACGGATAGTACAAATGTAAAAGCTTTGCTCCGGCGAGCTATAACTTTAGAGTATCTTAAAAGATCGTCTGAGGTATTCATTTATCAACTAGTTTGTTCATGTATTAACTTTCGTAGCAGATACTGTTAAAGCAAATGTTTAATTAATTTTCAGGCGTTATCTGATTACGAAGTTGTTTTGAAATTAGAGCCAACAAATACGAGTGCAATAGCTGGTGTGAAAAAATTAAGGAAACCGTGCGAGTCTAGGAAAGTTAGGTACGGAATAACGTAAACTATTATTTAAATTAAATTGAACTGATCCTCATCTGATATTTGCAGGATGACTATTGTGGAGCAGAACGAAACTGAAAATGAAAAGTCACAAATTAATAATGTTGGGGAAAATCAAAATTACAGTAAGCAATCTACTAAGAAATTAGGCATTGAAAATAGTATATGTTATTGCGACAGAGCACCAGGACCATCGCAATACTTGAAACCTAGACCACACTTTAGAGCAGATTACTGCCTCGATAACGATAATAGACATAACATAATGATTAAAAACGATGTATTAAAGATACCAGAATTTAATGCTAATCAGAATCTTAGTTCGACGCAAGGAACTAAAAGTTCCTCTTCATTTACGAAACCGAAATCAATTTTCTCTTGTCCGACACCCTCTAAACGAAACAGCACGGTTATCATAGAAGAATTGCCCAACGAGACTTGCAACAATAATTCTGCAACAAATAGAAATAAGTTTAACGGAACAAGTTCAAATAAAAATAATTCTATTGGAAACACTATAAATAACAATAGAACAACTGATAATAAGTCGAATGTTAAAAATTCCAATAAAAATAGGGGACCTAATGTAACGTCTTCTGCAAGAAAAATTCAAATAGCTGATAAATATGAAAAAAAGACTAGTAAACCGGAAAAACATGTTTTAAAGGTAGGTTTCCAATTACTCGATCGAAGAAAAAAATAAATATAAAAATCAATAAAATTCCAGAATTATAATAATATTGGAACAGCCTATGAGTTTATGCGTACATGGCGCTCGTTGAAGAATGATGACTTAGAAATGCATGCCCAGTTGCTGCGGTCTTTGAGTGTCGATAAGTTAGGTTCAGGTTGGTACTCGGATAATAAAATGTTTACACTCTGTGATAAAATTTTTAAACTAATTCTTTAACGAATTATATTAGTTTTAGGCAATGAACTTGATGGGAATATGTTCAGTATGATTTTGCGTTGTTTGGAGCGACATTTTTGCACACCTAGTGACACCGAGTTACTTAATAATTTTTTAAAGTCATTTAGTCAAGTGAAACGTTTCTCCATCCTCCATTTGTGCATGAACACTGAGGACAAACTAGGTATGCTTATATTGAATTTTGGGAAATACATTTGACAGTGAACATTTTATGTATTTCATAATTATGACAATTGCATTTGTTTTATAGCTGTGAAATACATAATCAATTTCTTAGAAGAGCATGGGACTTCAGAAACTTTGTCATTGCGGCAAATTTACTGCATCTAATTGTAAGAAGACTACACGCGTTCTTAGGCATTTTTGAATTTCGTAGTGACATTTCAGCGACGAGTACCAACTTTATACAGCCTAGTAACAATACACGAGATACACTACAAATAGTTACTTTTCAGTTTCACCTATAACAGTGATTATTTAAAAAGAATTGTTATTAATTAATAATAACAGTATATTCAAGAACAACATGGTTTCGACAAATTACTAATTTATATAATTTCTAGCCCAAGTCCTAGCGTAACGCTACAATTGCATAGCTTCCAATCGCGCACCCGAAAGAGACATCTCGAAATTAAGAAAGAAACTTATCTTACCATTTTTCCTGCATCTATTGGTTAAATCGAAACATTATTAACTAATACTTCTCTCAATCCTCATTGTCGATGACCATAATCATCCATATAGCATTTTCGTGCACTACGCGATGTGGCAGCACACACACCCATCCAAGCGAGTGCGCACTCTGGCTTTATTCCGACATCCGGACTCCGTGACTTTAGCGCTTCGTCAGTTGCGTACTCTTCCGTTCAAGCAGCTTGTGACATTTTTTTCTGTTACTACAAGATGTTTACTTGGATGAGCCGTGCGAATTTCAACGAGGATCCCGATAATTCCGCGTGCAAAGCCGCCATGAAACTGCTAAGAAGACAGCAGTAACTGGAAGGTACGTGATCCGGCGTGGTTACGGGCGGCCCGGGTATGTTTATAGCCTGCAAACTCTGACATAGCAATGGCGTACTGTCGCCGTAAAGGCCGTGCCAACAAAATTGTTCCCTGCCTTATTTAGCGTAAGTCAATTGTGCACGCGGTAATCCGCCGAAGAAACGGTGCCTCGTATGTGGTGACACGGCTCATAGTGACAAGAACTATTTGTGTTTCCCGGTGATGAAAAGTGGCGTTTTCTCGGTGATCATAGTGCCTCGGTTTTCCCCACCGTGGAGTGACCGCCGATCGTCGAGCGGCACGCCATCCTGCTGTAGCTGACTGAGCTCTATACTGTAAAGAGATTAAAAGCTATGTGAGTTCGGACCCATACACGAGTTAGTGTTTTTATTTATCGGCGATACGCCGATTTCAAGCGAAACAGAGTTTTTTCCGCGAAAAATATTATTACCATGGGAATATATAATACCCGCTGTGGAAATGAGCATTGACACGTAAGAAATGATTGATGTGTTTTGCACACCGTTTAGACGCGGCATATCTTGCCGTATTTTCAATAAAACCATGAATTTTCGCCCGGTAAATATTTTCATTTGATTTTGCATAGATTATATAGATTCACGACAGTTTACGTAATAATTAAAATTTTGCAAAAGTGTAGTCAAGATGTATCAATATCAAAAATAGAATTATTTTTTAATAAAACTGTATGTAGTGCACTGGTATTCATAAAACTGAATGAAAATGTAGTTTTAATTAATTTGTGGCACAAAGTTTTGTCTAGTGTAACTTTGGAATATTCAAATAGGTGTACTTCCTATACTTAAGAAATATCTCTGATCTTTAAATAAAAGTGAATATTCTATTACAAATGTTAACTTGTTTCATTTATTTCATTATTTTTGATGCCTAAAAAATTTTGTAAATTAAAGTATATCAGTTTTATTTTAAAAAATATAGGAGCATGAAATATAAAAGTTGAGGATGTACTCAAGGTCAAGATTGATCTATATTTTATGTTTTTATATAACATATGTTTATGAGTTTTTATGATGCTATTAAATTTTGTGTTATACACAATGTAATATATAACATATTAGTATTATTATATGTAATTAATTTGAAGAGAATATACTACAGTTAATTTTACAAGATTCTATGTCTTAAAATACAAATAGTAGTATAAAAGCAAGACCAGAATTCAATATAAATGGATATGTACCTAAACATTGAAGAAAATTTCAATGCAATATTTGGAAGAATTTCAACATGTTGTTATCTTAAAAGCACATGACTAAACAAAATGGTAAATAATATTATATATTGATGCAAGTTATATTAATAAAGAGTAGTGTTAATTTATAAGAAACAAATTTTTTTGTTAGGTTTATTGATGAAGATGAAGATGAAGAAACAATAGGAATACCTGTTTCTCCAGCAAATTCTGATCAATTGCTTGGCCATACACCATCAACACCTGGTAACAGTGAGTATATGTGTTTCAGTTACAGTCATTAATTTACGTTACTTATCATTAAATTTTATCATTTTCAACCCCTTCAATATACATATAATATTACTTAAAAGTATATATGTTATTTCAGAGGAAGCACAAAAGTTTGTTTCTCTTGCAGTAACCCCGGATGAAGCTTTTCATGATCCTTTACGGTACCAGAAATTTCCACTCCCTGGAGGTAAACCTTTAAATATTAGACGGGGTCCAGGTAGACCTAGAAAAGAACGTCCACCTGGAATTACACGTGGTGGTGGTACTCGTAGACCTTTTGGAAGAGGAACTACTAGGGGAAAAGGGTTTGTACTATATATATTCTGTTAATGAAGAACATAAAAGTATGAAAGAGAAATTTTAAATTATGTTATGTATAATCCATAAATACATCGTCATTTAGTCTCGGATATACAAGAGGTGTACCGCGCCGTACTAAAAGTAAAGATGACGACACGCATTCAGAGTCCCCGAGTCCTCTTCGTCACGGTGAAGATGCTACTGCTGCGGACGGAGAGTCATCCAACACCGAGCGATGTATGCCAGCACCAGAAGAGCCACCATACTTTCCAGAACAATGGCAAGAAAACATTATTATTTCTACTTTTTTTTGTAATTTACGATGGTATAGAATGGTTGTAACAATATATCTGTGTATATCTATTTTTTAGGCCAGGGAAAGTGTGTGCTCTGTGTAATTTGGGTGAACGAAGTCAACTTGGTCAGGGTGAACTGTTAAGATTTACCTGCCCTGAAGGTTTTACGCCTGAAAAGTCCACCAATCGCGACGATACAACTGATCATCTTGTTGATATATCTACTGGAGACAAAAGTCCACGTACAGCAGGTCCTGGTGCTGTGACTTGCCGCCGGCAAAAGAGTCTAGCTAAGTGCAGGTATTTTAAAAAATTCTTATGTAATAAAAGAATACATTGTTAATATTATTGTACTAGAATAATGTCTTATAGGAATACTAGTCTAACAAATTTTACGGAACCAGTGGAGGAATTAACAATAGTTGGGTATTCAGAAGAACCCGAAATAGGAACATTATTTGAATCGACTGGGCACTATTATGTTCATCAATCATGTGCAATATGGTCGAGCAGTACCCAAGATTTAACAACAGAAGCGTTAAGCCCGGCAGTAGTACAGGCTTCGTCGAGGCGCTGTGCTTATTGTTCCCATTATGGAGCTGGAATTCCTTGCAAAGTAAGTGCCTTTCCGTTTCACTCTCGTTGAAAAGAAAATTTCTTCTTAATCTAATAAATAACATTGTACATTATTTATACTTTAACAGGTGGCATCGTGCAATCGTTATTTTCATTTACCATGCGCTGCAGCTTCAAGTTGTTTCCAGGATACAAAGAGCTTGTCCCTTTTTTGCAGTCAACATTTGGGACAAGTTCCACTTTTGTGTAAGTTCTATGTGAAATTTATATTATGTATATGCGAAAGTAATGGCTGTGTTTCCATAAAAAATCTTCAATAATATTGAACAGTAACTACAATATCTTATACTTGAAATATTTATCCTCATTTTTTATGACTATCACGACTTCCATGTCAATAAAATGAAATTAAAATCACAGTACCAAGTTAAATACAATGGCCATTACTCTTTTATACACCTAATGTGTTTGTAAATTTGTTCTCGTTAAGTAAATTAGTGGGTACATCTATGTGATCTGTTTCATTTTAGTGAACGGTGATGTTACTTGTATGCAGTGCCGTGGAATGGGGGATGTTTCCAACCTAGTAATGTGTTCTATCTGCGGCCAACATTACCATGGCAGTTGTGTCGGTTTAGCACTACTGCCTGGTGTACGGGCTGGTTGGCAGTGTGTAAATTGCAGAGTATGTCAAGTGTGTCGTCAACCAGAAGATGTTTCGAAAGTAATGTTGTGTGAACGTTGTGAAAAAGCGTATCATCCTAGTTGTTTACGACCAATTGTTACATCTATACCTAAATATGGTTGGAAGTGTAAGTGCTGCCGTGTATGTACAGACTGTGGTTCGCGTACACCAGGCGCCGGTCTTTCATCACGGTGGCATTCTCATTACACCGTATGTGATTCGTGTTACCAACAAAGGAACAAAGGTTTCTCGTGTCCTCTATGTAGAAAGGCTTATCGGGCTGCCGCGTATAGAGAAATGGTTCAATGTAGTGCATGTAAAAAGTTTGTTCATGGTACCTGTGACCCTGAGGCTGATCCGTTAACATACCAGCATCGTAAGGAAGCTAAACCTGACTATGAATATGTTTGTCTTCACTGCAAAAATATGGCGCTTGTAAAAAGGAAAGATAATATTGATGATTACGGTGGAGATTTAAGTTTAAGCGCGTCGCAAGACAGTCTGTATGGTGATGGAGATTCATCTGAATTCGATTATCAAGGTGGATCAGAAGAAGCACTGTATTCTATAGGTCTTGGAAAAGGAAAACCATTCTGTGCATCGAAGATCGCAAAGAAGAGATTAGGACTCGGGAGTGGATTAATTGGCAGACCGAAAGGAATTGGTAAGCTTGGATACCAGAAGCGACAAAAGATGACAGAATTTGGGAGGAAAAGAGGCCCCAAAGCGAAAATGAGAGGTATCTTTGGAGTACCTGGTGTAGGATTACAGGTATAGTAGACACTTCGTTGCATATTATTCCTTTTTTTTTTTGTATGTAGGTACATAAATAATTGTAAATCTTCTGAAACGAATATTTATTCTTATTTCAGAGACCAATGTCAGACTCATTTTCGAAGGAAGATGAACCAGGCATTGAAAATAGACTTGTATTATGTTCCGCAAAGGATAAGTTTGTATTGACTCAAGATATTTGCGTCATGTGCGGTGCAATTGGCACTGACCAAGAGGGGTGTTTAATTGCTTGCGCACAATGTGGTCAATGCTATCACCCTTATTGCGCTAATGTCAAAGTTACTAAAGTAATATTACAAAAGGGTTGGCGGTGCCTTGATTGTACAGTATGCGAAGGTTGTGGCGAACGCAATGACGAGGGTCGTTTGATTTTATGTGACGATTGTGATATCAGTTATCATATTTACTGCATGGATCCGCCGTTGGATTACGTACCGCACGGCACTTGGAAGTGCAAATGGTGTGCACACTGTCAGACGTGCGGTTCAAATGATCCAGGATTTAATAGCAGCTGGCAGAAGAATTACACGCAGTGTGGCCCTTGTGCGTCTTATACTGCCTGCATATCTTGTCAGGAGGCGTACAGTGAAGGGGACCTAATTATACAATGCATCCAATGCGAAAGGTGGTTGCATTGTGCGTGTGACACGATCAAGAGCGAGGCAGAAGCAGAGAAATGCGCAGAAGAAGGTTATATTTGTATACTTTGTCGTCCAAGAGATGTTCCGCCGCCACACCTTCTATGCAGTCAACCTAAACCACAACCAAACAAATATCCCCGTTCGCCTCCGCCAACATCACGCAGTCCAGAATTGTATAAACCGTCCCCTCAACAGTACTTGATCGATGGTGTTTACTTATCCGAAGCCGGAATGAATCACATAAAATCATTGACGTCCGAACATCAACAGACGAGAAAGAAACGAAGAAAAATGCATCCATTAATAGACAAGGAAGCGGACATAATGGCCACCATAGAATCTGTAGTTGCTGGTGGCAGTTTAGATAATTCTTTAGAAGAAAATGGAGCAAAATTAGATTTAGGAGATGTAAAGGACGAACCCACCGAAGTACTCAAAGAGGGCATGGTATGGACGCCGCGTGGCGACCAGCCACCGCCCGAAGGTTTTAGTATTTATACAACTGAAAATGGCATACCAATTTTAAGACGCAAACGCCAGCGTAACTTGCAAAAGTTAGGTATTGGAGGTTTTATTGTGAGACTAAGGGGCACTCGCAAGGACAAAGAGGAAGACGGCGATACTGAGAAACCATCCGACTCTACGGTTAGTGTAAATGATGACAAGCCAAGGAGGAAACCACAGAGAAGAAAACCAAAGACGAAATTATCCGAATGTTTTCCTCTCTACATGCAAGAGGCATTCTTTGGCAAAGATCTTATGGACACGACCAAAGACAAGGAACTGGAGAGTAGCAGTGAATCGGATAGCGAAAAAAATGTATCTGGAAACGCGGATACCATTCAGCTGTCTCAAGATGAACTGAAAGCGATGGAACAAGTTAAGGCCAAGCAGGAGAAGGAAGAAGAAAAATTACCCGCAGAAACTCCCATCAAGAGAGAAGAGGGTATGGAAGACGAAGGTAGTGACACGGAAGCACTTGGAGATATCTTACCGATTTCTGGTGATTTGCTTGATAGTGACCTTGTCAATACTATCATGAATGAACCAGATGAAGACTTAGCTAAAGCTGGCGAGGCATTAGATGAATTGGACGACACGCCAGGGACGACTAAAGATGAACTGACGGATATTCTAAGTCCTCATTTCAACCTAGAATCGATGGTTAGGGATACAGGATTACCTAATATGGATAGCAAAGATATCGAAGAGATATTCAAAGGGGTTTTGACTGATGAATCTCAAGAGTCTCAAGAATCATCGGTGTTTTCTGTTCAAGCTCAAGCCCCTCACCCTTCATCTTCTACAACACCTCTCGTGTCTCCTTCACCACACCCTGGTACGTGCTTATTTAATTAGATGGTTATTTTCAGTATATCGAATACGAGTTTAACTGTATTAATTCTTATAATTACAGGCATGCAAACAACCATCCCTATACCAAGGCCACAAGTACCTGGTACACTACCCTCTGTTGGCCAATCTAACTTAAATTCTCCTATGAGTTTTCCACCACCATCACCATATCATTCGGAGTACAGCAAGTACGTTCGCATTTTTATATATATATATATCGTGACATTATAAATTAATATCTTACTTTAGTTAACACATTCAAACTTTTCATTATACAGTAGCCCTCAGTTCAGTCCTGCCTTCTCGGAACCACCAAGTCCCTGGGTTAATCCAGATGACGAGGGTACCACACCGGCAGGCAATACCACAATCTCATACAACCAAAGAAGTAATCTTAAAATGGAAGCCGATGAAGCTTTAGGTACGGGGGCGACTATATCATCTGTACTCTACGCAAATATCAATCACCCAGAATGGAAAACAGAGTATCCAGGTACGTATGATTAATAGCGGTCAGTTAATTCGCCTCGTGTCTATTTTGCATGCAAGATGGATCTAGTTAATAATATACTTGACTATATCATTTAAGCTTGGTCAGAAAGATGCAAGCAAATATTGAAGAAATGGCGTGCACTGCCCAACGACAAGAAAGCCCCATATCTAACACTCGCGCGAGACAATAGAGCTGCGATTCGTATGAAAAAGACTCAACAGGTAGGAATAGTTTTTAGAGATCTTATTAGCGATACAGGTGTTAGAGGAAGCGTGAATCTTATATGTGATATGTATCCATTTTCATTTTCAAAGATGTCTTGTGCTAACACACAGGTCAAACTAACAGCTTGTCCTTTGTGTCCGATACCTATACTTGAAGCTCTTAAGGTTTCAATTATCTTTTATCACTCGTGAAGTCAGACAAAGTGCAGAGGCATAAATACAGTATAGATCGCAAAGTTTAAAAAGTCGACGTGAAACTATATTAACTTTCATTTAAAGTCCAATAATATACTTATCTGTTCCATATTGAACGTACTATGCGATTCCTTTTTCGTTATATTAATCACCATCATGAATGTTATTCTATTCTCTAATTACACACGTATAGAAACACATGTTCTCTACTTACATGAATATATAAATCATTTCTTCTAACACTGTCCATACCTTCAGATCATGTTTTGTTAGAAGTGTAGATGCTAATTCGATACTATAGGAAATACCAATCTAAATCTAGTTGATCCCCCATAGCGTCCCCAGATATTCCTTAGAATCCTTTGGTGAATTATTACCTGTGTATGATGTATTTTGGAAATATGTAAGCCATGAAATACTATAACGTAAGTGTGTGAACGAGGCACCCCTTGAACCGACAGATATCCAAGGATATACCAAGCACGACCCCAGTCACTGCAACAAGTGCACCTACCATCATCACCAAACCTGTCACAACTATGACATCAGCTCAAGTTTCTTCAGTAGTAGCTATGGCCTCCAACCAAAGGCAGATCGGACTTTTGACTTCGGTGGGCAGTGAAAAGTCACAGGATAAGAACGGAATGACTGTGTCCGCGACAGGAGTGACAGTGTCGACAGCTAGCAGTAATCATCATGCGGAGGTGTGTGCGGTGCAGGGACCGCAGAAGCAGCTAACATCTTCTTCCCCGAGTCCTTCTCCAACATCCACGACCCCTTCTTCTTCACCCAGGCCCAGTTCTGTGAATTCTATTAATTCCATTAACAGCCTGGCGCACCAAGAGATTACCGGTGGCCAGGCTAGAGTAGCTCAGTCGCCAGCCACGCCTTGCACAACAGCAACTGCTTCTTCTTACTGCAACACGGGCGCCGGTGAAGGGCAGCATCAAACGTCACCATCCCAGCAACGTCCTACACCTGCTCACATTACGATCAGTACCAGTACTATTGCTAACAGTCTGACCATCTCTCAGGCATCCCCCACTGCCAACGTTATGGTGGGGGTAGGTCCTGTTCGCCAATTATCCTCGGTAGACCACCAGATTAGAGTGCTCACCCCATCTGAAATCATGCGCACCCTCCCCTCCCTCAGCCAGGAGCACTACGATCCGCCACCCACTGCAATTATTCACACTGTACCTGTACAGTCCCCGGCTATGGTGAGCCACCTGTTCTGTGCCTCTAGTGTCTTGCCTTGTGCCACGTGTCTGATCGACATTTTTAGTGTCCTTCGTCTGTTTTTTTGTTTCATTTCTTTTTTAGAATGAAAATATTAGAATTATCATGAATCGGTGCCTTGCAATAATTTCAGTCATAGCTTAGTTATATCTACCGAAGGTCTGAAACACTTAACGTTGAAGGTAATTTATATTGTCTCGTACTGTACGAAATAGTGTTTCAGAACATTGGTCTTTCTTCGTAATGGGGTGACTGATTTAATGTTGCATTTGTACATATTGAGTTGTATTATATTTTATTGATCAGACACTGTTAATTGTATACATATACATTTATTTCTATTAGATAGCAATATATTATGTTAGATTGTAGTATTATGAGTCATTTATTTGCATAGTTTATCACATTATATATATGGCATGTTGAAGACAACTGGTAGCACAAATTTATTTATTTATTCTTTATCCGTTATATTCCGAAAATGTTATATACAAACATGACATTTCCTCCTTTCCCATGTACTTAAATAAGTATGTTGCTTATTGTGACTTGTGTTGAGTTATTTGGTAGTTCTTTTTTTTTTTTATTGCAATGTAGTACTTTATTTCCCATCCACGACAATGTTATAATTAGTTTTACTAACTTTTGTTGCTTTTCCAGATGCTTTTGTGTCTTCTTGTACTATGAACTGTTACTTATTGTATTTATAGTGTTATAGTTCAATAGATACTGCTATTAATTAATGTCTGATGATGTACTCAAAATTCTTAGTTGCTAACATGAATAACTACAGTTATTTCTTAAATTGTACAGAATATTTCGCATATACTTATGCATATTACGGTGTAATGAAATAAGTCCTTTGTATTTTACTTGGTTCATATGTAACAGAACAAGTAATCTTATTCGTGTACTACAAACAGTACAAGTGATATATTTTTCTATATTCGGTGGTACAGTGCATGAAGAATACTTAAATTAATCTAAGATTGGATGTTTATGGGTGTTCTGTGTGGTAAAGCTGGTTTTTCTTTCACATAAACCTTTGATTATATAACATTTATTTTAGATGGTGGCTGGTCATTATTATAACTGTGTTGCACATACAGAAACAATGAGATTTCGCTAATCGTATTAATTTAGTAATATGCCATTGTTTTTCCTGAATGTTGAAACTTAAAGTACACTTTTGGCTGACTGTCAATTCGCCTCATTGTATATTTTTAATTGCTTCAAGGAAAAACAGATCATTATATTCTTTGATTAATATTAATCAAGTAACAGAGTATTTGAAAACACTAATATGTCACTGCTATTTGAAAATTCTTATTATGTGCTCTAATAACAATGACTACAAGGATATAATGATCTCACATTGTCCGATATTTCGTTATATTAATAAAATTGTTTTCGGCAGGAACAAGAGAGACTTTCCAATAGAGATCGTTCCACCAGAGAAGCTGAACAAGAACGCCAATGGAAACAATTACAAGCATTGCGTCAACAGCAAGCGCAAATGCAGCAGCAAGTTATTCATGAGCAACGTGTACATGGTATGTAATACTCGATTATACACAAACAGTATAATAATAATAATATCGTAAATTCAACTTTTCATCGTTTCCCTTCAATAGCTATCGCCAGAGTTCACAGACAAATAAGCGAAGACAATACAACTCCAATGAATACTGACAATACCGCAGGATTGACAACACAATTACAAGTCACCACTTCACAGGTCAGTATTATCGTATATCCAATATAATAACGTAAATAATTTTTAATACGTTATGTTTTACAAAAATTACAGGATGGAAATCATATGGGACCACTAGCGTCACCCTCTCCTGGATCACGCAACACATTTGCTGCCCCTCCTGTGAAAGTGACACGAGGACTAGCACCACAAAGTCCTCATCAGGGTATACCACGTTTACCTAACCAACCCTGCGCAGCAATGACCCGTCCAGTTGGAACTGTGGTCAGGCCTGGGATACCGAATAATTTTACGCAACCACCCTCACCGTTCTCGCCGCAAGCTCCACAATCTCCCCATGATTTTCCGCAGTCTCCAGCTTCTTCGCAATCACAAGATCATTTTCAACGTTTCGACAATACCGAAGCTTTTTCCCAAGGATCCCAAACACCCAGGTCACAAATATCCGGTACACCCACGTATTCTACGTCTCCCAGAAGCGACGTATTTTCTCAGCCCCCAGGTACACCGCGGCCTATGTTTAATGCCCCTACTACTCGTCCTACTACACATGTATATGCACCATCTCGTACACCTGATCCCTACAGTAGTCAACCTCCTACGCCCTCTCCTGCCCCAAACTATCCTTCGCCAAGACCAGAATCAAGGCAAGATTCGCAGCCGCCCGAGGTATTCAATCAACAGCCAGAAGTGAATAGACAGTTGCGTGATCTTCTCCAACGACAGCAGTTCAACAAGAAAATGGAACCTGTGAATCCTGCGTGGAATCAAGGTATATTCGATAAAAGCTCTATTGTATGTGTTTTCTTATTATAATATTGATTTTTGATTTTCCGTGTATTTATTTTCAGACGGTCAGAACAACACTGAAAACAATCCACAACAATTTGAGGCAGCGCATATACAACTTCCTCAACATTCTCAAGCAACAAATAATACTGGAGAGGGTACTTTCAGACATCCTCTTCCTCCAGGTATCGTTAGACCCAGGATGCCTATTCAGCCAAATGTTCTGATAAGAAATCAAATTGGTATGTTTATGCTATTTTCGTTTACTGAGTTTTAAGATACACATGTTATATGTATATTTCATTGTTGCTATGATTTCATGTGCATGTAGGAATAAATGCAAGACATCCTGTAGCAGCGAACGTAGATGCCAGGCTGCAAAGTATAGATCCACGAACTAGAATGTTGCTGCAAAGACCACAAGTAGCGGCAGCAATACCCCAGCAACACTTTCAAGGAAGTCAGACTTTGCAAACACGTATGCCAGCTATTAGGAGTCCTATCGCTGAACCGTATGATGTCTTACAACAACAAAGGTTTCCAGGTATGTCCGTTGCGTCATATAATTACATCTAAAAGTCAATGAATATGTAACTATTGAGAATTGTATTACCAGATCCTAATCAAGGACAAATTATGGGGCCGCGCATAGTGCGAGCACCGCAAGACAATTTAAATCAGGGAATCAGAATGTTAAGTACGCAAGGGATGGTGAGAGCACCCCTTATTCCAACAACAGTTGGCGAAGCTACTGTCAGTCCCTCCGAACCATCTGAGATTCCGGATAATGTGACTGCAGAGCTCGAGAAATTGGAACAGGAGGGAGCACCGATGGTCGAGGTCGAGGGCGTAAGTGCAATATTAGGTGACCTAGGCGATGACGATGACGAATTGCTCGGTAAGCAGTTTATCTGTAATTATACATATATGTATAACACAGAATGTACACATAACCGACGTTTTTTTTTTTTTACAGCTGAAATGGGAGCGGACTTTAATATTTTGGAGTATGCCGATCCCGAATTAGACAATATAACCGGTGGTGAAAAAACAAATATACTTGATCTAGATCTCGAGCAAGTCGAAGTAGAAACGAAAGATGAAAAACAAAAAAAGGAGGTTAAGGATGAGGTGCGGAAGTCGACAGACTTGGGCGCCACGAGTGCAGTGCATAGTGACATAAATGATAGTTGTACGACGACCACAGTACAGACACCGACGGAAACATCCAATGCCCCGACACAAGCGCCGATTGTAGCACCTATTACAGCAACATCACAGACACCGCAGCAACCATCCCCTATTATGCCCCAGTCGCATGTGCAAGCTGTTAATGTGCAACAACAAATGCATCAGCACGTACAGCAAGCCGCAGCAATGGGCAGACCTATGCCTCCGGGGACACGGTTGGTATCGCCCGATGGAGCAATTGGCGTTGTTACGTCGACCAATACGGTTACTGTCAGTTATCCGTCCACATTCCCTGGACATCCTCAGAGACTACCGCAGACGCATATTCAAGGTAGGAAACGCTACAAAATACTGCATATAAGTGACGTATTAAAACTATGTGTTGTGTACAGAAATGGGCAAACTCATTATCTAGATAACAAGTTTCGAATAACTGTGGAAATTTCAATTTTCATAATAAAATAATACTTTTTTATGAATGAATCGACATTCGTCGAACAAGTATTTAATCCTATTAACTGTTTAAAGGTCAGAACGACACCCTTAGATACTATTATTCTAATAAAATTCTGCCCAACTCTGGTTGTGTACCTCTCTTTTTTACTAATTTTTGTTTTGTTATTATAGTATCTCAACAACAACGTCTAGGTATGAGAGTAGCAGGCGTACCAAACGTGGCTGGTAGAGTGGTCGCTGTGAACCATATGATCGGCCCGCGTATGCCACTAGCGCCACCGCCGCCACCACCGCCGCCTCCATATCCTGGACCACCACCACCATACCCTGGACCCATACAGGTTTGTATATATTACAGGCATTTTCGATGTTTTGAAATTTTTGCATCGCTTTAAATCTTGAGTATTTTTACGCAATTATATCTAACACTCTCCTCTAACCATGAGAAAAAGATATTTCTCGCAGTCCGAACGAAAGTAATAAATGCTTTTCGATTTACGTAACACGAATTGGTAAATTCCGTTCACCTTGAGAAACATAAAACTTGATATTAAGTTGTTCGTTGATTCTATACAAATATCATGCACACATACATATTTATTATAATACGTTTATCAATACGGTGTAATCAAACGTGAGTTCACATTTATGTGGGCATAGTACTTAACGTAAGGTGGTAGTTAATTCTGTAACTTCGTAGTATTCTGAATTCTTGTAATTGTTTGATACATACTGCCGAGTTGTGTTTATAAAAAAAGAACAACCAGAGAGAACAGGAGATTTCGAGTTTGCTATGAACGTAGGTGTAGGCAAGTAATTTATTTAATATGAGAGTATTTTGGCTGGTAAAATGGTGTTTTGGCCTGGGTGTTTGCAATGCATTGGTGTTGGTGCATGTCTAGATGGGGCTGTGCCCAGGTGGGCGGGGTATGACGCGGCCCCCGGTCCATATAGGGCACCCAGTACCGGTGGCGGGCCCACCAATGGCCCCTGTGGTACATACTGGTACGCCCGCAATGACACCTCACCCTCACCGAAGGCCCTTGCTTCTGCAGGTGAGCAAGACTTGGGGAATTTATAGCATTTGACACAAAGTATCACCTGCAATGATACCAAGAATTAAAGATTTTCAATATTTTTGCACCACTTCTTTTCCCCTCTGTCCTTAATGTAATCAATGATTGCAAGAAATACACTTAATGATAAATTGTTTGCATACTATTTGATTAAAATACGTTACTATTTCGATTCGAAGAAAGCATTGTATGTTCGTATTAATAATTTTCAGTAATTAATTAAAGATTATTGGTAATTATCTCAATGTCCCTTTGATTTTCTCTGTCTGTACTAACAACACATACGCTTCTGTTTTAACTTATTAATTTACCGTTAGTAATTACACGATATATCTATATGATAATCTGCTATGTATTTTGAATCTTGAGAAAGTATTTCACAGATAAAAAATAATTACAGTGGATTCTGATTGATGGTTGCTACATCTTATAAAATTTGTAAAACATGTTGCATTTATATGTATGCATGTGTGCTATAAATCGAGACAAATATTAGGCTTGATGATACTACATGTAATATTATTGATATTTGCTGGAAAAAAAACAATGTTAAAGTTCTGTTTATGTTCGACATTTCTGTAAAACTATTTTATGTAACAATTTTTATGATGTGAAAGTTAAATGAAAATTGTTGTAGGGCTAATACACCTGCATGTTCGTATTTTTTCGTTAGTCGGAATGATCGGTGTGCTTCGTTTCAATCTACAATAAACTCAGATTGTGATATATGAATTAGTCATTTGGTTCTCTATTTACATTCACAATATCCGGTTAAATTGTTGAAAGTTAGATAAGCTGTCAGTAGTCATTATCGCAGGAACAACCGCTGTTGCTGGAGGAACTATTGGAACAAGAAAAACGTGAACAGGAGAAACAGCAGCAGCAACAACAACAACAACAACAGCAGCAGCAGCAGCAGCAGCAGCAACAACAACAGCAGCAACAAAGTGATAATGCAAGCTCTGGAGGATCTCTTCTTAGTGACAGTGAGTTTGAAAGATTTAAAGCAGACGTTTTGGGCTCTGCACCTCTTGCTTCTCCTCCACAAGGAATTACATCAGTACCTGGAGGAGTTCCTGTAATTAGGCCACCTTGTACACCAAGACCACCATCCGCTCCAGGTACCAGTTGGCAGCAACCAGTACCAGATGCCTCAAAATTAACAACCCAAGTGCCCAGGCAACCGATAGCTACACAAACACCACCTGAACGTCAGTACCACAAATATACACTTAACTGATTTAATTTGTTCCATACTTACACAAATGCATAAAAAGTTCTCGGTTAGACTTCAGTATCCAAATGGTCGAACACAGGTTATTGCTTACCACCAATTAGAACTTTTCGAGTCCACTGAAGCATTCTTGCTGCGTTTGTGTCAGTATGACACGAATCAAATGAATTAAGTGTATCTGAGAATCGAAATGAAACTTAATTCATTCTATTTTCTGTGTTACAGCGAGGGTTGCTACCTTTAACATTTCTCAAATACCCGCTCCGCCCACGCCCCCGGAGAATATCGTGAACGAACAGGACCGTCAAGCACAAGCGCAGTACGAACAGTGGCTGAACCATCAACATCAAGTGTTGACCCAGCAACTGAAGTATTACGAAACTGAGGTACAAAAGCTGCGTAAAATACGAAAAGTAAGGATAGAATATTTTTCTGTTGCGGTGTTTTCTGTTTTCTAGTCTCGCACGATCCAGATTCATTACAGTTACACTCTTCCCTAATTTTACAGTCCCTCAATAGTAAACAGCGTCAGCTGAGAAAATCCGGGAACGAACTACCGGAGAACGATGCGGCCGAACTTCAGCGTATTTCCAGCGAGCAAGCAATATTACAGAAGCACCTCGACGCGAGTCGCAAGCAAACGCGGCAACACGGGATGTTGATACAAGAGTATCATAGCAAACAGCAACAGAGACAACCTCAACAGCAAACCAGCGAACCGTGTTCGCCTTTGATGTCTCCGGCTCAGCAGTCACCGATGCACAGTCCTGCGGCAGTCGTTTCTCAGAGCCCAGGCCCTGGAAATGTCCCGACAAGTATGATACAGCATTCACCGGTGACGCCCATTATACAGCACAGTCCAAATCCACCGTTACTGCAGCACAGTCCTGGAAACCCACAATCAGGAAATCCAGGAACAATGTCTCCTCATAATATGCAACAATCGCCTAGAATTGGAACCCCACATTCTCAGAGCGAAGAAAGTCCCTTCAGTCCGGGTGCGATGCCTTCTCCAGGAATGTGTGGTCCCACGGCCACTAGAATGACGTCTCCTCAACATCGTGCAATTATTACTGGAAGACTTGCAACAAGTCCAGGCGCGTTTACACCAGACAATCGGAGCACACAGCAAATCATTGGGGATCAAGGAGTCCGAGTACACGGCCTTACTCAACGTTTCGTCCGTCCACCTGCGGTAGGCGAACCTGGACAAAGACCTAGAATGCAATTACAAGGAGGAATCGTCTATGGACAACGTTCGCCGCTTGGAAGCCCCCAACCTACGCAGCAAACATTAATGAACCAGCAACACCAACAAATGCTTCAACGGCAACAGATCATTCAACAGCACGATAACGCTGGAATCCTTCAAGATGGGCAGAACACTATAACACAGCGTACCCTGCAAATGGCACAGCAAAGGCAACAATTACTACAGCAACAGCAGCAGCAACAACAAATCGTACAGCAACAGAGACAGCAGTTCTTACAGATGCAACAGCAGCAGCAACAGCAGCAGCAACAACAGCATAATATGCAGAAACCACCGAGTTCACCGATGGTTTCTCAACCAGCTAATTCTCCAAGTCCTCAGCTACATCAACAGATTCAACAAAATTATGGACAACCACCAAGTTCACCTATGCCTCGAAGTCCAATGGTTCAACAAACGATGGGCTCGCCAATGCTTCAGCAGCAGTTAAGTCAGACTTCGCAACCTCCGAGTCCAATGAACACTAGAATACATAATCATCCACCTAACTCACCAATGATATCGCAATATCAACCACCGAGTCCTATGTCTCGTAATCATCCTTCGACATCGCCAATGCTACAACACCAATTGAACAACACACATCATCCTCCAACGTCTCAACCACCCAGCTCTCCAATGCCCAGAAGTCCGATGGTTGGCGGATCACCCATGCAAATGCAGAGAAGACAATCTACTGGTAATAGCCCAGCGATGCCAGATCGACCGCAAAGCGTCGAAAATCCAGGGACCCCAAGAACACCACATACTCCGCACGCACCACATACACCGCACGGTTCGTATACAACTCAGAGTTCAAACAACATCCCGGTGTCAAATGACCAACAACAACAGATACAACAATCTCATCAACATCAACAACAGTCAGTACAGCAAGACCAAGCTTCTTCGGCGGACCATACAAACAGGGGCGGAGGAAAGCCGCATAATCCAATGAATCCAATACCATTCTTAAGTGGTTTCGGGCGATTTGGATACTTTAAGCTCGGTCTGAGAGGCGGTTCTCCTATGTGGTCAACGAAAGCGGAGACCAGTAAAGGAAAAACGTCCGAGTCGCATCTTTTAAACATCGACGAGAAACCGAACACTTCCGTGGTGGTGCACAGAAAGACCGGCATACCACAGTCGAAGATTAATTCGTTAGTCTGTGCTGATTATAATGACTTTGACGATGACTCGCATACACCGCCACAGACACCACCAACTACCATAGAAAGTAAACAGGCAACATCGTTGTCTGATAACGGGCCATTAACCTTAGGTAGCCCAAGTAGCAAAATGGAACCGATCCCTGACACAACCGATTACGACGACGATAAGACTATTGTAAACACCGAGGTAACGTTAAGTTCGACTGCGCAACGGGACAGCGACGATATCACAGTGATAGATCAGTTTGGTGATTCAGAACTCGTTGACGTGATATCGGGAACGTTGGAAGGTGATATACAGGAAGAATATGTGCTATTCGAGCCTGGGATGGTTGTGGACTTATCTGCAGACAGTAACGATTCTCTCTGTCATGCGTTGGTCAACGACGGTAGCCAAGGGCATGATTTAGTTCAAATATTAGAAATTGAGAATCCTGAATCTCAGACAGATGAGCCAATACTTAGCGACGAGGACTTGGTGCCATCTCACGCGAGAAATAAGAAGGGCCTTAGGCTGGACATAGTGAGGACGTTGCAATCTGGAAAGAGGTTAGTCGCAGTTACAGACACACCTGAATCACCTGATCAGGAGGAGCTTCGTGTGGACCCCTCGCCTGGATCATACATGGACCAATCACCCGAACAAGATCTCATGGTGTCTTTCGTTAGTGAATCTGAAGTAGTGATTATCGACCCTAGTACAAAGTCGCCGGAGGATAATTTATCTAAAGAATCGTGTACGGAGGAAGTGGAGAAAGCAGATGGCATTAGTGTTCCGGAAGCACCGAAGGAAAACGCCGTTCCGGAGCCGGTCACCGAAGATCAATCAAAATCCCAGAAAGAATCAAAGCAGAATAGAAGTCCCACGTCGTTCGTGTTTTCTGAGAAAGTATTATATAATCAAATCCCGCCATCGAGTGTTCATCATGCGAACATAGGCGACCTGTCTGCAAGCAAGCCGACAGTTTCCTTATCTACTCTTGAAAGTACAAATATCAGTACCAGCAATGTAAATACAGCTACTACATCTACCAGCGTCTTAGTAGCCACCGACTCGGCTGTTAAAACGACCCCAATATTTACAACCTTGAGCATTACGAAAGACATTGTGTCTACTTCTTTCAATAATAAGAAACAACTGCCATCGACCATGGCAAGCATTGTCGCGGATGCCAAAATCGCGGCGAAGCTGAGCCAGACAGCTTTAGAAAACATCACAATTAGTTCGCAGAGCACGATGAAGATGGAGCCGTTGCCGAAAGTCGGTTCGCCAAATCCGGAAGTTTCGAAACCTCTCGTGATGTCATCGGAGAAGTTGACATTGTCGACTCCCAGTTTACAAAACGAATACACCAGTTTCATGCAAAACTCCGCTACGACCACGATAGAGTCGTCAAGTAATCCCACAAAATTAGTTCTGAGTGTGCAACCAACATCCGTCACGCTGTCAACACCAAAAATGTCTATACCTGATCTTCCTAAAAGGGAAACCGGAAGTAACTCGGTGGCGATGACAAAAGAAAATCAATTGGACGCTTTCGATAAAACTCCCAAAGGTAAAAACGAGAAGGATGAAACTGATTATTCGGGGAAGGGTTTAGATGAGAACAGTACGGATTCGTTGAGCATGAACGTTATTACCAGTTCAGCTGTAGCCCAGGAACCAACGTCGTCGGATGACAAGAAAAACGATCCGTTGAACACCACGGATGAATTAGAGAGCATGCTAGAAGCGATTCATAATCCTGCCGAAAATACCATAAGCAGAGAGAATACCCGTGCAGACAGTAAAACAGATGCTGTCTCGTTTAAGAGGATATCACCCGTGACGGACGATTTATCATTGGTAAATATTTTAGAAAATGACGCAGAGCCTGTTGAGAATGAAAACAAGGATGAGACTGTGACAACTTCCGAAGCTCAGAGGATCAATAATAAGCCAAAGGAAATTGAAACTAGTATAGCAGACACCAGTTCGTTGAGTGTACCTCAGAAAGAAAAGAAACACGACGAATTGTGTGCAGACATTGAAACGAACAAATCGTACGTGCAACACTGTTTGAATGAAGAGAAGGGTATGATGGACGAGTCGTCCGACGATATATTGGACATGCTGCATAATATCATATCGTCCAAGCCAGAAATGGCGAACAGTGACATACTTCAGGAGGATAGGTCCAGAAAGACAAGTATGATGTATGAATTACCAACACCGTTGGACACGTTGCCTTTGAACATTCTCCAGGATTCTTTAATGGATCTGGAGCAAGAGCATTCGGACAATGAACATCTGTTGTCGAATGAAAGCAAAGGACCAAAACCACGGAAAGCAACTTCACCACCTGTAGAACCCACGCCTAAGAAGAGCTCTCCCATTCCTCATCAGAGCACTCCTATGGTAGTGAGCACAATAGCCCAGTTGCAGAAATGCACAACAACGGTACCTCATCTTTCCCCGCTGTCAAAACCCACCGAACTGACGTCGAACGTTGCCAACGTTTCGCACCAGCTGAGAACGTTGCTCTCCTCTCTGCAAACAAACCACTCGCAAAATTGTACATCTGTGAATCAATCCGCCATGGTTACGATGGTGTCGTCGTCGCTCACGGGCCCAAAAATAGGAAATCTACTGTCGACTACGTGCGCGTCCACGCCAAATTCTGTAAATAATCTGCACAGCAACGCGAACCTTCGTATGCAGACGTCCATGACCACATCACACGCGACGACGCCGAGTAAAGCTGATTTAGAGACCACCACGACTAGTTATACGCCACATACAAAAGATAGTACAAATTCTACAGTAAGCATTGTTTCTACTTTATGCAAAGTCACGCCTTCGGATCCATTTTTACGCGTAACCGCCAGCGGGATACAGTCGCAACCTAGCAGTAGCCTTTCTTTACCAACGTCATCTGTGATCACCCCCAGACCGCCGACCAATTCCGGGATTTCGATCACTTCGAACGCAATGCTGAACGCCATGTTGGCTGGCACGAATTCAGCGAAACCCACCATTGCTGGCCATCGAACGAACACCGCTCCGACCCAAGCGAGCAATTTACTGAGCTCCGTGATGGCGACCTCGGTGCAACGTACGCAGAGTCTTCAAGCGATACTGCAAGTGAATTCAGGAGTTTCTTCGGCCCCTTCGCGTGTCGTTGTCAACGCTACGTCCACCACAGTTACAACGTCCATGCAGTGTGTCAGAACGATCGTGCCACCTATAGTTACATCAAGCACCAATAACATCAATGTTACCACCAGTATACTGCAGTCCACTTTGTCGCAAACTCCAACTCTCTTACACTCTCAGCTCACATCTGGACAGAATCAATACAAGTCAACGGGTCATTTATCAACAGAGAAGAATACCGACCTTGAGAGATTGGCTCAGAGTACACCCCTGAAAAAAGACCAAGAAGAAACAAACTGCAAACCACAATCTATGCTTGACAAACCACCGACAACTAGGCCAGAATTAGATATGAACAAAAGCACCACTGGTTCGCACAGAATGGAGGAGTCGCAGAATGTACTGTTGAAGCAATTGCTGCAAAACACCGCGTGTGCAACAACGACTCTGTCTTCCGGTTCTTCACAAGGCCCCAGTTTGCCACTGGTACCGTCGCTAGAGGCACAACTGGCGAGACCTGTGCCGCCTACACCATTCTCCGTCTTACCACCTCTACTGAACGAAGTACCGGCACCTAAGACCGTGACCAGTAAACAAGTTCTCACCAGGGAAACGTCGTTTCTATCGCAGTCGGTAACACCATTGAAGGTACAAAGTCCCCCGACCAAAGAGGAACCGCCGAAACCACCGCCGCCGACACCAGCACCGGTTTTATCGCAACAACGGATGGTAGACAACTTTCCCAAGCAGCAAGTAACAACGCAACAGCCTGCGAAGACCACTCCGATCTCGACTCAAGGGAATCAACAATCAACGACCACGGTTACAAAACAAGTATCAACGCTCATAGCGAAACCCCCGGACACGACGACCCCTGTAAAGCAAGAATGCGTCGGTACACAACCACAAGCGAAACCCACGAGTGACTCTATTATCAATAACACCGTACCAATCCCGCAACAATGTGTATCAGCACCTGTGGCTGTCCAGCGGGTCGTGCCACAGGTAAAGCCCGTAACCACAACAGCAGCTTGTAAAAACATGCAATCCACGACGCAACAAGCATCGAGTGCCACACAAGTGACACAGACATCGACGACAACCACTACCCAGCCTCAAATGCAACCTCAGCCCCAGATACCAGTCACCCCGAAACCGCCCATTGTCTCGACACAACCATCATCCCCGCATCTAAACACAATACCGCCATCAGTGCCTCATACGGTGTCTCATACTGTGGGTCACCAAGCCCAGGCGTCACAGGGTGCAAATGCACAACACACAGTGCCTTTAGTGGAAGTCAAAAAGGAAGTTCTTGATGAAGTTCTATCTAGCGGTACACCTACCCAATTAACCGATACCAAAGACTTTCTTACTGCCAAAGAGGAGCTTATCGATGGATCGATTGACGACAAAACTGGTACGCGGATACATCATTGAAATTGTTCGATAAAGGCGATTCGTTAAATCGACGATTCACAGATCATTGTTTTCGTTACAGATCTCAAGAAGTTAAAGAGGCGACAGTATCAACAGAAACGGAAACAAAGCCAGGGAAAGGACGCGGCGACAGCGCCTCAGAAGAAACGGGCTAGAAAAGTGTCCCGTTTAGACGAGGATTACGACACGTTCATTGACAATTTAATGACACAATTGCGACAGCTTCAACCAATGGCAGTATTAGAACCCCTTCTAGGCAAGAATTACGGCGTGTGCCCCATCTTTGGCTCTGGCGACTTGATGAAAATCGGAAGTCAAAAGGACTACAACACCAGGACAGGAGACTTAGCAGGTTCATACGGATCGGCCACGTTGCCGGGTGTCTCTGATCACTATAACACGCAGCCGTTCGGTGAATTAGAATCGTTACCACCTCAACAACCTGCTTCTACTCAGAGAGGATTTTACGATCAAGAGTTTCCACCTCTCAAATTGGACGATTGTAAGTATTCCTTTATAATCTGTTCTTCGTGAATGAAATAATTATAAAGATTATTTGTAAAAGAAAAAATGTTTCATATTTTAGCTGATGAGAAGAAAGAGAATTCTCTGTCAGCGAATCGCGATGTCGATTCTCCTGATACAATTGTCAGTTCATCTTCACCTGAATGCGTTATTCCGGAATTCATACACCGATTTCCTGGTTTGAGACTGATCGAGGAAGAATCGGACGAGGAGTCGGATTGGTTGAAACGAGTGTCGCCCGTAATACCTTTAATTTCGCCGATACCGATCAGACTGAAACCGGCATACGCCAAGGATACGGCTAAGCAAGATAAGGAGAATTTAGGAATACCAAGGTAAAAAAAAATATAACGATAACTAACATAATAAAAATATAAACGAAGAAGCTTCATCACCTTTCACACGAAACTTTTGTCATTATCGTTTTCGTAATATTATGTTTAATTTTACACAGACTGGGAAAATCACCTCCAATACCTCTGAGGGACGGTAACGTAACAGTTACATTGACCTTGAATAGTCAAGCTGCAGACGACATAATGGGAGTACTTAAGGATTTGGCTAATATTTTAAACATAGCTCCTCCCACTGGTTACCAGATAGTAGAACGTACCACTACTCCCCCTAGTCAGAAATTAGGTCTTTATAGAACCAAGGGAAAAGATGGTAAAGAGGGAGGTATGTATTCTTTTTGTAAACGAAGTAAAATTGATATTTCCTTAGACATGGATAGTTTTCCCCTTTTAATCCACATCGTCATATTACAGCTCCGATTGATATACAAAGTATTTTGAATGGCGCTGCGAAATTCTGTCGCCATTGCGAGGTTGTGATATTGAATAGTTTAATAAGGAAAAAAGTATCAGACTTACCATTCTTAAGTAAGGAGGAAGCGGAGCCTGGTGACGAATTATGTTTCTGTTCAGCCGCCTGTTACATGCAGTTCGCTCTTATGCATAGAACACCATCAAATACTCAATATAAGGTGAGTATGTTGTTTTCAATTGTGTAGGTTTCTATTTGTCCTATATATATAAAGTATAATAACATAAAGAATAATATTTAAAAATATAATAACTCGTATAAGAATCTGCTCCCCTAAAAAAAACTATTTATAGGTTGACAATTATTAAATATTCTGTTATTTCATTTAGGCTGCAACCATAGTAGATCACTTGTGTCACAAAGTAGAAAATAAGATATTGGATGACGATTTCAAAAAAGGAAAGAAATTCGTGGTTAAGCAATCGGTCGACCCTGTTGAAAACATGGAGGTTGATCAGCCAGAGAGGGAATCTGAGGTGAAGGTGAAAACGGAGAAGGAAGACCAGGACATACCAGAACTGAAAGATGAGCTGATGGAGGAAAAACGGCCAAAGAAACATCCGGCTGCTGAAGAACAGTCGAACGATTCGATCGAGGCGACGCAACCACCTGCGAAACTATGGAGAGGCTTGCGATATAAAACCTGGTCCATTGGCTCGATGCAACCTTCTACGAAGTATAAGAAACCCACCGACAAAGAAATCACAGAGGTAAAAAAAAATAATTCTTACATACAGTGGGGGACAAAAAGTATTCGAACACCCTTTAAAACAGAACTTATTCCGTATTTATTAAATTTTCATTATAGCCTCAGATTAAAAGGTTGTAAAAAACGACCTTTACTATTTTCTTCGCGATTCCAACCAATTGCAACTTTTTCAATTTTTTTTACACATGATTTATTAAACTAATGTTCCTAACTTCACAAAAGAACTCAATTCACCCGACCAATTTGAAAAAAGTTGTTCCGTTTTAAAGGATGTACGAATACTTTTGTCCCCCGCTGTATGTGTCGAATAATAATGTGCATCACACAGTGTAAGGTAATAATAATTACCCTTATTTCACTTTTCATAGATGCTTTTCCGTATGGGTGTCACAGTGGTACCCGCCAAAGCGGAAGACAGTCGACGATGCATGTTTTGCCACAGTCAAGGTGACGGTACAGCCGACGGCCCTGCTAGACTACTTAATTTTGACGTCGACAAATGGGTGCACTTGAATTGTGCCCTATGGTCGGAAGATGTGTATGAAACTGTAAATGGTGCCTTGATGAATCTCGATACTGCTTTGCAACATAGTCTTGTATTAAATTGTATTGTTTGCGAGAAACCGGGAGCTACCGTAAAATGCTTTAAAATGCGCTGCACCAACGTGTACCACCTTGGCTGCGCTGTCAAAGATGGCTGTGTTTTTTATAAGAATAAGGTAAGTAAGACAAAGCATCTAACGCCTACCGCGATTTCCCTGTAAATCGTGTTCACTTCACGGCTTTCAAATATCTTTCACTCGACAACCGTTCGATATTAATTGTTTGTACAAACATTTCCAGAGTACCTATTGTTCTCAACACGTGCAAAAGAATGAGAAGGACAATGAACTGACGACGCTATCCGTGTACAGAAGAGTTTACGTCAATCGTGACGAAAACAGACAAGTCGCAGCTGTGATGCATCATTCGGAACACAATCACCTTCTGAGAGTCGGTAGCCTGATATTCTTGAGCGTTGGTCAGCTACTTCCGCATCAGCTTGCCAACTTTCACACACCGCACTACATATACCCGGTCGGATACAAGATCGTTCGATTTTATTGGAGCATGAGACGGCCGAACAAACGGTGCCGGTACGTCTGTTCTATCCACGATGTCTCCGGACGGCCCGAATTCCGCGTACTGGTACAAGAACCGCTCCAAGAGGATGTGGAATTACGGGACGCCACGCCTCGCGCTGTTTGGAGCCGAATCCTTGAACCACTCGCCGAGCTACGAAGATCCACCCACAGTGTCCAGCTGTTCCCACGCTACGTCTCCGGCGAGGATCTGTTCGGACTGACTGAGCCGGCGGTCGTTCGTGTTCTCGAAAGTCTTCCAGGCATCGAAACCTTGACCGATTACAGATTTAAATACGGTCGGAACCCCCTGTTAGAATTACCGTTAGCAATCAATCCCACCGGCAGCGCGAGGACCGAGGCTCGTCTACGGAATCAACTTCCTTGGAAGAGGCCGCATACACAGCGCACAGGATCGTCGGCCCGGGCCACGTTCGTCCCAACCGCGACCGTCGCGGGCGAGGTGGCCTGCCCCTATTCAAAACAATTCGTTCACTCCATCAAAAAAATGAAGCAAGAATGGCGCAATAACGTTTACCTGGCCCGCTCGAAAATCCAAGGCCTAGGACTCTATGCTGCGCGCGACTTGGAGAAACACACTATGGTCATTGAGTACATCGGGGAGATCATTCGTACCGAGCTGGCTGAAACTAGGGAGAAGCAGTACGAAGCAAGGGTATGTTTGTTTATTAACACGACCCTACGTTTTTTTCCTGATTCTCTCCATTCCAGGCCACTTGTACCACTGACGGAAATGTTTTTCTTATTAAACACTTTGTATGTAATAATAGAGTTAAACATAGATCACAGATGCATACAGTAATAGGGTTATTTCTTTTTAAATTACATTCTGATTTTAAAGATAATCCAAGTTCTTTCTTCGACAAGAATCATAAGCTAATATTATTCCCGTTGCGCGACTACTGTAATTAGCTGATTAAATAATACTGATATTGTTTGTTACAGAATCGTGGTATTTATATGTTCCGGCTAGACGAAGAGAGAGTGGTGGATGCGACATTGTGTGGAGGCCTCGCGAGGTACATCAACCACTCTTGTAACCCGAATTGTGTCGCAGAAATCGTTGAGGTCGAACGTGATCTTAGAATCATAATCTTTGCGAAGCGAAGAATCTCACGTGGCGAAGAGGTATGTAGAATTCACATATGTGTCTTTCCTTCTTTTTTTTCTCTCCCAAATAGGATTCGTTTTTTGGGAACCATTTATTATTTCTTGCAGCTGGCATACGATTATAAATTCGACATTGAAGATGACCAGCACAAGATAGCATGCGCATGTGGCGCGCCTAACTGCCGCAAGTGGATGAACTAAAGAGCTCGATCCACCGTTGTTATTGTTACTACGTTATTGGGTAGGTTTTACATGAAGAAAAAAATATATAAATATATAAATATATATATATATATATATATATATATGATAGACACATTATTTAATTTGTAAAGTGCCATTGCAGTTTGACTAATTGATTCATAGTGAAGTTGGTGCTATGCCATCACAACATTCCTCCAAAGTTGTACAATATTAGTTTTACTTTACAAAACATAGAAACATTGATCGCTTGTATATTACGGACACTCTCGAAGACACGACGCGGAATAATTGCGAAATAAATTTTATGGGTCGTGTGTATGTATACAGGAAGTTTGTATCTTTGTATGTTGAGTAGAGTCAACGTTTAGTTGACCGATATTGTAATATAAATCGTTTATTAATTATTATTGCATATACATTGCACTGTATCTGTACATAAGTAGAGATCCATGTTATTTTGAATCACCAGATGAATTATGTAAAGTAACAGTATCTAATTTAGAATTATATACAATTATAACTATTTCATTATATGATAATAAATCCGTACAAAATCTACTGATACCTTCGTTTTTGTAAATACCTTTTTCGTGCAATACGATATATCTATATTGTTGTGTGGTAGGTAAAATGACCAACATTCACTGTCGATGATGTATATGCAAATATTAAACAGCCTTTCTCTATAAAGAATATTCATATTAAAAGTATATTGTCATGTAAATATATGCAGCGAGTAAAAAAGGTATTTGCACATACAGTTCTCTTATATTAATTATATAGAAACGAATAAAATACATTATAATGAATAGTACATTATTTGCAAAATTACTACATTAAAACTAATGTGACATAGAAATTTTAATAATGTAACCTAACGATCTATAAAGTTATTTTTAAACAAATTTTTGTAAATACTTTTTATGACCACTGTATAACATTCTGTATCTAAACGACTTAACGACGAGAAGAAATCATTTTCTTTCGTTTTTAAAAAACAATGTATTTTTTAAAAGAGCTATGCAAAGGTCCATCAAAGATACATTTCAAAAAATTATTTTTGCCCTATGTGACTAGTGACATTTTGAAATATGATAGAAAAACAATTATTTTAAGCCATGTATATACACTTTCTATTAAAGTATAAAACGTTGTGCTAACATGATCCGAAGTTAAATATGTTTTAGTGGCGAGGACTAAGAAAACCAAAAAGGGAATCATGTTCACAATTTTATTCTCATAATTGTAAAGTGATATTTACAAAGGAATAATATCGCATGTACACACAGACAGTGCACAGTCATTCATCAGAGTTTCGGTTATTATAAGAGGGAATACAAGATGTTGAAAGAATATGTACAATGAGTATTCGGCTATAGGGACGCGATTATTCAGTTTATACAGAACGAATACAACCGAGTTTTCGAGAAGTTCAATTGTGCAATTGAAGTAAAACGAAAGAAAAACGGGGAAAATAACAGGAGCTTTATATACTTGATTAAACGTATCTCGCGAAACTGTGAACGCAAAAGAGAGCAGTACGTTACAAAATATCAAAAACGAGCAATGTAATCGGCGGATATACGAACGTGTAAATGCGAGTAAGATGATATACATTGTAATAAAAAAATGTATTTTAAATGCGATTCTTTGGCATTTATGCACGATATAATTGTAAAGGCGATCTAGCGTGTTACAGTAAACGTATGTACAATCGAGGAATTATCACGTTAAGCGTAAAATAAGTACGAAGACGAGGGTACAACGCATAAAAAAGAAAACAGTTTCTGTACTATGATGATATTCGGTGTCGCGTTCTTTTTTTTTTTTTTTTGTAAATGTCCACTATAAAAAAAAAGAGAACAGCTTCGTGAAATTTATACTTGATCAGTACTGGAGGCTACTAACGTATACATTGATGTTGATTGTATATTGTATATTATTTCTAAACATAACAGATTTAGCTAGGATTGCCGGAGTACCTTAACTCTAACGTGTCCGGAAATCATTTTTCACTTTGTTAAATATTACATCTCTACGCAGTTCACTTCGTCCTCTCGACGCCACACGTCAATTGAATATTTTGTAGGCATAGACGTATTTGTGTGAAATTATGTTTACAGTGATTCCTTAACATAAACGTTAAGTTTCTTCGATGGATGTAGAGACTTTCTCCCAGCAGCTTATTGTTAGGTCTCGTGGAACACTTTTCGAGCTGCTCTATTACAAAAAGATTAACTAGAAAATTTCATTCGTTCGTTAGGTAGGCTTTATTCGAGGCACCACTAGTACTACTTTGTAATTTAAATCTTTGAAGTATCTCTGAATTTGAATAAGTATCACTTGTAATAAAATTTGTTTGATCTACAATCTCTCTGGCAATTTTCTTAATGCAGCGAACCTTAAACACATTAAATGCTTTACCCTTGAAAAACATTAGAAAAATAAACGTGTCCAAAAATAAAATCTGGTTTCTTCATTATTTGTGATTTTACTCCAAATGAGTTTCATACATCAAATTATTTCTCATCTGAGAACAGATTTACTCTCTTTCTCTTTCTCTCCCTCTCACTTTCTCTTTTTTAACAAATGAAAACAATTGCTTACCAATCTGACATATAGGAATAAAAGTGTCCTATGAAATGAAAATCTCTCTCAAATTTTCATTATAAAACTTAAATACTGTAACTTCGGTGCACGTTGGAACAGTTTTGAAGATCACCTGCTTACTTCGTTCACGATGACACTGGCTCAATCCTGTTGCATGGAATAAATTAACACAATCATTATGTAAGTCTTTAAATAAAACATTTCGAAATAAAAGAGACTGTTCTTTGTATGCTTTTTATAAATGCACACATCTGTGTATCGAATTTTTCAGCATCCAATATCAGTAACTCCATTTAATTTAAAATTTTAATATTTCATGGCACTAAATCCGAAAGGATTAAAATATTTTCATTCGTCATAAAGACTTTTAAAATCGTACTAAAGTTTGTTCAATTTGGAGTTAATCAGATTGATTTCTGAATGGCTTATGCATTCTCACTCTTTGAAGGCACAAGATGTATGCAGCACCTTATTAACAGAGAATAAAATCAATGTTATATAACATCAAAGACATGGTATACTAGGCTACATTATTTATGTTTTCTTTTATTGTCAGCAAAGATTGTATACAATCTTAATTTTTTGAATAGTAACATATCTCAGTCTGTGCCTGCAAAGAGTTCGAACAGAAGAACTGAATACATGTAAGTATAGTTTTTTTTTCTTGAATACATATAGTGTACTTTTTAATATTATAAAGTTCTGTATATGAGCAGTAGCGATTAACGTGTGACAGTGTAGTATTCATGCTGGTTTGTAGAACTTCATCTGCAGCTGAAAACTTGGTAATAGAAACCGTATTAGCAAGGACTTAATATATTCAAATGCATTAGCAAGAATGTTCGGAGTTCATGCATACCTAGAAAGTTGTGTTAAATAAGAAACTGCTTCTGACCGTGCTAATAGCAGAAAATTTCAATGCACTAATCGTTAGTAATGCAATCAACACTGCTCACCAAACGTAAAATTAATGTGCAACCAGTATACAGAACTTTCGGCACTTGTGCACTCCTGTAGTCAGCTCTAAATAACATACAACATAAGAGTGCGTTGCATGCAGCTTCAACGAAAGGGAAATGCAAATGCAATAATATATTGTGTTAGATGTACCTACTGGTATTTGAAACATTGGGAGCTGCGTATGAAACTTGTGGATTTATGTAATCTGGAGAATGTATATCTTTATTGCCATTAGCATTATATAGTTTATAATAATCGTTATATTATCCACATATAATACAGTTTTATGTACAAGGGGTCTAGTATACACTATGATTAGATGTAGTGAACGACTTCTCGAGAACGATACAAAAGGATGATGTCAATGAAAATATTATAAACAGAGAATCGAAGCAGCTATCTACAATCAAAATACAAAAGTAAGGAAATATATTTTGCTAGCCTACGTTTAAATTAATAGTCTCTTAGATACTGAGCAGCAATACGATATACAGGAACCATATCTAGAAAATGCTAATACCCGACTAGTCAACAAATTTTGTCGAAACATCTGCCGTAAAAGGATGCTTGCAATTTATAATACAAAAGAAAAATTATACCAAAATCGCTAGATGAACGTTGTTCAATGTAACCACTGAAAATTGTAACTTTTGATTCGTTCTTAAACTGAAACGAAAGTAATTAGTGGGCCCTAATACCGGATTCCCAAGAATACAGTGTCGCTTTCGTTTATTAGATTCAGAATATGTCGGCATAAAATAATTATGTAATATTTACAAATGCTTTCACTTCAATATGAATTCAATTTCGAGACAGCTCGAAGCAACAGTTACTCAATAAAAGGAGTAGTTTTAAGAAATGTCAACTGCTCTGAGTTAACTACTTCAATACACGTCGTACACCAAACGTAAGTGTCAACAACAAAGTACATTTGTTATATTAAAAAAAAAAAAAAAAAGAACAATATGAAAACTGCAGGCTTTTCGTACCGGTAAAAATACTAAACTTCTTTCATCACGGTTTATAACAGTTCGATAAAGCATTTGGCTTATTACGTAATACTTTTATGCAAGAATAATTATTATTCGTATACATATACGTATATTTGTATATATGTACACAGTATATACATACACGTATATATATATATATATATATATATATATATATATATATATATATACATATATATACGGTACTGTATAAGTCGTTTCAGAAAGGCTAGAATAATTTCGATAAATTGCTACTGTTATGCATCTAAACGTAATGTCAGAACAGTGATTAGAATAAGGTGAGGCCTACGTACTCCTATCTGCGATATTAATTTCCTTTTACGAGAAACGAAACGATCTTCGATCTTTCCCCTGGCGGTTTACATTTCGTTCACTAAACTACTACCGAGTGACGCTTTATTTCTTGTTCTTGTTCCTTTTTTTTTTTTGCTCGTTCACGTATCAACCAATTTACAGAACACAAAAGCGACGCGCGATCACAGAAAAACGTGTACACGATTAAAAATTGCTTCATCTCGTATAGCAGAGCTAAATATTATTCGTCGAGCATCATCAGACCGCAAAACGCATAGAAATCGAGGATCGCAGATCAAATAGAATCGTTCGCGATAAATACACCAAATATAAAAATATATAGTACATTTACAGTTGTAAAATGGCTGATACACAGTTTCACCGTGCCATAATAGGGATTCAACATATTTAGGATGGCATGACCTGACTGACCCTGATTGATTGGCGTGAACCATTAAGGTCAGACTACGATAAACAATAAAAAAAAAAATCTAACATGATCAATTAATGGAACCAAGTATCGTGATCGATAAAAGTGAATGGCCAACGTGACTCTCCAGTGAGTTATACTGTTACAATAAATAAAACATGAATACATGATGCAAGCGACTTACTAGAGAGTCTACTTAGTAGAAGGTCATTTCATTTTTGTATAATATTCTACAAAAAAAATTTATATCTAATCAGCAAGCATATTAAAAATAGGAATGATACTTATTAACAATATAAAAAAAAAAACAGGATACTGGCTGCCATCCTCAATCTGTTAAACCTGCGCGTAAATACTTTTCATCCATTTTCAGTTTCCACAACGTACCTCAACTCTTACCCCCTAACGCAATTGCCTTCGTTGTGAACCAACAACATAAAACTGAAACATCAGAACATACTGAACCGTCTCCCGCCAGACTTTCCTTAAAGTCTTCGGGTGTACAATTATTGGTAACAACGTAACACGATTCGAACAAACATACTTTCGGATAATTTGACCATAGAGAAATATAAAACATCATTATAAACGATCTTCGGGTCAATCTCCATCTTGACAAACCGATAAATAATAATATTCAACAAGAAACAGAATTCAGCTTGGAGTCAGTCGTATAAATTTTAAGAACGATCATGTTCGTTCACATTTCTTTTTTTTTTTTTGTGATGTATGCCCTAAAACAGTTCATGAATGATCTAAGCTCGTGGAACGACACAGAAATCAGGTTTGGGAGCCCGCGGGATTACGCCGATACTTCGAATTTCTTAAAAGTAGCAAGAAGAAGCAGATATGTTACTTTTACAACCACGAATCCCAGCGCGAGCTAGTCTGCGTTAGAAAATGTTAGAGCAGCGAACTTAAAGCGAAAACCAGAAGCACGAAGGGATGCTTTTGAATAAGATATTTTGCATGAAGACAGACACAGTTCGGTATAGTAACAAAGTACCATGGAATTGTTCGATTGTACTTGTTTACAGACTATCTAGCAATGATTTAATTACAGGATTATTTTCTTGATATCGAGAAAATTAAATTGAATTTCATGATATATTTACGAAAGGGTGATTCAACCATGAAAAACTGTACTTAGAGTTTTCTGGTAACAAATGTACAGTGCCGTTCAAAAGTATTGGGGATAAATTGTCCGTATGAAGGAATGTTCCATAAAAATTATATATTTTTGGGCGATATTCATTACTTTATGTCAGCGTAAGTGTTGCCCGTAGAGCTTTAATATCCCCAAAATTCTTTCTTTCATATGTAATGTTCTGTTACATTTACGTCATATATTATACATTTCTTATGAACGGCAGTGTACCATCGCGAGCAAACTCGGCTTCCGCTAGGGGAAAAAGTGGCGTAAGAGTAAGGGCCTCCTACCACTTGGTAAATTTAATTCAAGTACTGAAATAATTTTCCCTACGCCACTTTTTCCCTAGCGGAAGGGCCTCTTACCACTTGATATCAGGAATTACTGAAATTTATGTCAAATTAATACTTGGTTAACGTCTGCTTTTGTGGTTTCTTTTTTATACAGGTAGTCTTATTACGCGAATAATTGAACGACGGTTACTGCTATCATCCGTTTCATGCCGATACTCTCCAACGCCTGAACACCATCTTTTTGACACGTCTGGCTATTAGAATTGTTCTATACGTAACTGGTCTTATCTTCAGTCAAGGCACGAATCATAATCGGGCCTTGTCAAGTCTTTGGTAAATCTTTAACAATCTACTGGGTATAATTAGTGAATCATTTACACTATACTGAGTTAGGCGTGAAAACTCTCTGTGACCCAATCACCAGTCTGTGACACCGGCCTGGAGTTATGGGCGTTTAGGACAGCAGCCGTTTTCTTTGTTCGTGTGGCTTTTGTGCACGATAATGAACATTCTTATAAAAACTAATCGACAAAATCGCCGTTTTCAGTGAAACGGATGAATCAATCGAATGTGTGTACAAAGAAAGGATAGTTAAAAATGGACATCGCGATACTTAAAAAAAAACGCTGCTGTGCTAATTGACGCCGTACGAATGCTACCACTACCCGGGTATCCCAATGGCCGTTGGTAAAACCACGATTAAATATATTAAAAGAGAATGGTGGTGAGTACACGGTGTACACAATGATGTACAAGTACTTAACAAGTGATGCGTCTCGGAATACATCGGTTAGGTTTTTTTCGTTAATATGTCTTCCAAATTTCAGCCGGTGCCTGTGCTAGGCCTGCGTACACGCAGGTCAGACTAGACCACACATGCTGAAAAGACACCCATCACACGTCAACCAATGTCCCCGCCGTAGTCCTGACCGTTTAGCAGATTACGGTTGTAAATGGCAGCCCTGTAACTGTACCTATTTATGGCGGGTCGATCGGGTACCGGCGGCGGTACTAACGCCACGTCCGAGTTCAGCAGCGCCCCGCTTCCCTCGTCCACTTCGCCGATACTGCTCTCCACCAAAGACGGCTCCACCTCGGTAAATGCCAGCCTCGACCGTAACAAGTAAGCGTATGTCTTGTACCTCTTCAGCTGCAATTCAGAGGGCAGAGAAGTTAACGTAGAAATTATTAGAATAGTTGATTGAGTGATACAGTTTCGATTTGGAGCTCGAAGGATTGGAACCAATAAGTAGCAAGAGGGTAAGACGCTACTTTTTAATGGGAGTATTGAAATTCTGTGAAATCTTTACTTACTCTGCCTACATTGTTAAATGCCATCGGTAATTACCTCGTGATGCAGATAGGCATCCTTTTCTTTATAGTTTTGTACAGTGAGTGCTTTCGCCCCCCTTTCAGGTGGATGCCGCCTGTGCTCCTCTAGTTCGGCCTCTAATTTGTTAACCCTGTCCTCGTGGTCCCGTAACTGTTCTCTCTGACAAACAGGGTCAAAAATCCGTGATATCGTCAGTTCTAAACGCTTTGGGGAGGCGGCGGGTGGGATGTGGAACACGCGGAAACACATTTCTGGTGGTTTTATATACGCATGTAAATGATACACTACTGATTTCTGTACAGATGCGTCTAAATCTCGTGTCCGAAAGGGATAATCCCGTTTGGTCAATGCCGTATTCCGTTTCGACGATACGAAAACATTAGAGAACGAGGTTGGCTTCGGGGATAGTAGAGGAAGGCTTGTAAATAAAGAAACAACGAACACAGATTATATCCGTTACGTGGCTCCACGGTCGGACGCCGTTTCATTAACCCTAGAACGCCTGATCCTCCAACTGTCACGTAAATGCTCGGGAGTGGGGGGGCTTCTCAAACCCACGTTTCTTACATATTTCTCCCAAAAAAAATTATTTTTTTATGCAAATTTCATAAACTCCCCCTTTGGGCGTTCTAGGGTTAAACGGGTTCTCTGTCGCTCGGACACTACTCACAGGAGATAATTTCGTGTGACTGCAGGGCAGCAGGGGTCGTTGAAATTTTCGCTGGGAGCCGACCGCCCCGGCTAACGGCTGACAGGAGAAACTTGCGCACACGAAATTAATCGTGTCGATCCACGACTGCAGCTCTTTGGAATCACTGGGAACAAACAGCTCCAGTTATACAACTTTTAAACAACTTTACCCGTATTGTCATCGACTTGGTGAGAATTTTTTCATTCGGGTCACCTCGTTTGGAAGAGATATTCTGCCTGATCAGCGGTCTGTAACCTGAAGACATGTTGTTTTTTCGTGTAGTCCGACGCCTTTGTCGCCAACGCGTGGTGGATACGTATGGCGTTGTGTAAACTATCATTACGGAAGCCATGCTCGTCTTTGTGCAAATATAATACAAGTTCTCGCAATGTACAATAATACATCTTCCAGCCACGTTTCCCGAACGGAGCTGAAAGAAAAATCGTGACAATGATTCACAAATTCATTCAGATATAACTAATTTTTTTAAATGTGGCTTATTTCTTTATTCTTATATTGTTGACTTTTCCCCCCATCATTGTCGTCTATTTTACCCAATTCTAATATTCAAAAAGATCAAACTAAATAGCCCTGTGTGAACAAATTTGTGAGACTCCGTATTGGACTATAAACAGAAGAGATCAGTACTTTTCTTTCCGTTGGAATCGTAACAGCATTTTCGCATAACGTAACCCTTCTTGAACTCCGTAGCACCCGTAACGTTTGGCACGTCGAGAAATGGATTCCCGGTTCCAGATATAGCTGGACCGTCACCCTGTTGCATCGCCTGATTCGCGGCCTCATCGCCCTCCTCATCCCTGAATAAACAACACGTTTATCAATGAGAACCCGTCCAATAAAAACCACGATGATTCCAAAGATCCGCCAGCTGAACGAACTTACAGGGCCCATTCCAAGGGGAACGATTTGATAGCATTGTACAGCTGCTTTAGCACCTCCCTAGGGAAATTATCGCCGTCGTTCAGTTCCGAGAGGTTCTCTATAAATTCGTTACACGACATCTTCCTGCCGATATTTTGACCGTGCAGATCCGTATTGAGCAGCATTATGGCGCAAGTTAACGTATGGACAGCGTCTGAAAAGGAAGTTCCAGTTAGAAGATCATGAAAAAAAAAGGGGGGGGGGCGGGACTAGCAGACCAAGAGGATGTGATTTACCCTGAGAATTGAAAGCGCCGGGGTTGCAGTCGAGAAATCTCTTGGAGAAATGTACAAGGACCCTCTCTCTTTCCTGGGTCTCCCCCGTCAAAGAGAACTGGGCAAGGAACTTTCTGAGAGCCACGTCCAGCGTGTCCCGTTCGAAGCTGAAGTATCTCAAGTATTCTTCGGCTACCGCTCTACTAAAGTCGTTGCTGGAACCGAGAGAAAGGAGGATCAAAGTTAGAGGGGAGGGGGCGTGACCTGCAACAACCGCGAGAATTCGGAGATTCTGATTCAAGTGTGGTGTCCCGTACTTTTTGCTAAGGTGTCTAGAGACGTCAGACTTTTTGAAACCGTCCAGTGAGTATAGCCTCTTGGCCAGTCGAATCGCCGACGGCAGGTCCACCGCTTTCGGGCTGTAATGGAAGCTGTGCAAACTTTCGATGTCGCTTTCCTCATCGGCGGATTGGGGCGGCGACGCGCCGTACTTGTCCTCGTAGCCGCAAAGATTCAGCGCCTCCTTCTCGTCCTCGCTCTCCTTCAACTCCTGGAAACGAACAGCCCACCACTAAAGGGAACACGTTCTCTTGGAGAACGGAGTTGGACAATTATCGATGAAACCAGCGACGTATAGTCGGAACGAATTTAGTTGGGCGTGACCAAACGGTACAGAGGGTGGGGGCAACTGAACCGGTGGGCGTGATCAAGTAGCTCAGTAGGCGTAACCGAAGCCTACAGTGAAGTTAGCGCATGGTTAGCCTTCGACAATCAACTGATTTCCCTCCAACTATAGTCACCGTTCTTCATCGAGTTCTTTAAATAAAACTGAAAACATCAGACACTCGAATCGATTCACCCTAAAACCACCAAGTTATACAAGTATCAGGGGTCCAAGCCCAGAATCCAAAACGCTACCTGATATCCAACGAACTCGGGAGTGACATTGCCACCGGCGGACCGTTGCACGGTGTTCTGTGGCGTTGCAGCGGGCACGAGTTCCGGATTGCTTGGATTCCCGCGTCTCCTGTTCTGTCTGGGACTAGTGTTTCGCGCGGTGGCAGTTGCCAACTCCTTCTCCGGTCCTTTCACCTGTATCACTATCCTGTGCTCGGACGTGTCCTGTGCTGGTTGGTAGCCGGTCGGCGTGGACGAGGTCGTGTTGCTCTTCAGCCTTCTCTGGGGCGGTTCGCTGGCCAGTATCGTCGAGTCACTGTCACTCGGATCACTGACCATCATGTCGCGGGCACTGAGTATGTCCATGGTCTCCTCGTCGTTGTAGTCGGGGCTGGACATGTTGCTGATCGCCTCGGACTGGCTTAGGTCCCCGTTCGTCGGATGAAGCCCGGAGGCCGAGGAGTTTGTACCGTCGCCGGATGGGCCCAGGGCTGTCGCGTTCGCGCCCGTGGGTACCGGCGGTGGGAACCTACGGGATCCAGAATTGGAGGACATGACCGAGGACGAGACTGAGGTAGGGGAGGCCGGGGACAAGGAACGCTGGGGGCTGGTGCCCTCCGTCGAGGAGCTACTCGACGAGGATTGCGAGGAGCTGCCGTTCTGGCAGCAAGAGGTGCGCTCCGAGGCGGACGGCGAGCTGACCGGGGCGTTGTACGTCCACACGATCCGCTCGCTGGACAAGCCCTGCCCACTGTCCGGCCGTGTGTCCAACAGGGTGTTCAAGCTGGACGTGACGTCGTCGTCGATGTCAATGTCCACAGCGCTCATCGACGGGTCCTTTTGGAATTGCAAATGATCCTCGGAGCGCGACGTACGAACGAAACCGCTCGAGTAACCGAAACTCGCCGCGTTCGGTTTGCCGGCGTCCCCCTGGCCCGGGCACTGGACGCTCTCGCGTTTGCTGATCCCGACCGGCGAGGTGCTGGCCGAGTTCGAACCGGTGCACTTGTAAGCACGGTGATGGCCCAGCATCTCGTTAGGACTGGTGGGTACCGAGTTATGATGGTGGTGATTGTGGTGATTATGGTGATGGTGGGTGTGATGATTGTTGTACCTCAGCGAGTCGACCTTCTTCTGGTGTTTCGGGAGCAGGCCACTGCTTTGCTGGGTGCGCGACAAGTTCAGCATCAGATCGCCGGTCATCATGTAGGCTTCGAACCTGTGTCATAATGGACCCATTTTACACACCTCTGATCGGTACAGATATTCCTTGATTGGCTGATACTGCCAGGTTTGGCTGACTGGCTAGAAACTTCCCGACTTTGGAAGCCCATTATTTTCTATACAGGGTGAACCACGAATTGCGATCAGTAGATATCATTACATGTGTTCCAATGCACAGAACGAAATATATACCCGATAAAAACATTTCCGATCGGTCTGCTAATAACCGAGTAATCTCTACTGATCACGATTCGTAGTTCACCCTGTATATACCCAAAGGACGAACTCTCGTTTCGCCATCATTCTCATCGTTTCGACACGTTCTGATGGGATAGATGGCGAGACGTACCTAGGCGTATTCTTCTGTCTGTTGAACTTTTCGCCAGACAGAGGCTCCCACTGGGCTCGTTCCTCCTCCTTGAAACTGTCGATAGGTGGGAGCAACGCCTCCAGCTCGGACGAACCGGACGCGTCGCTGTAGGAACCGTTGCTTCTGGTCGCGTATTGGTTCGCGCCAGTCGGTTCGTGGGGCGAACCGACCGGCAGCTCCGGTGTCCTCGTCTTCCTCGAGTCCGTGTCCTCGCCATTGCCCGACGACACGGAACGAGGATTACTCGCGAGGGTGGCCGCCTCGTGAGAGATCTTCGAGGTGTCCGTCTCGTCGCAGGCCGGCTGTCCAGGTGATAACAGGCGACGCACGTGCGCTTTTATTGCGGGATCTGTAGACACAACCGTGTTATCTTATCTAGCACCCAGGTAAAGACTGTTCGTTTCTGTTTGTCCCATTATTAGCAAATTGCCCCGATTGAATTCCGTTATACAGGGTGTTACATCTAACGCGAGCCACGATTTTTCACCCGCCGGCTTTGTGGGTTTTACAAAAAATATTTTGAATGTAATGACACTGTATTTTCATCAAATAAAGCATACGTTTACTGGGCAGGAATAATAAAATTTTAAAAATTGTGAGTATCTCTTCAATTTTTAAGAGTAATAGGTTAATTTTAATATACACCTAAAAGATTGTATATTTTTCAAGGCATTTTTGAACAGTACCTGGAAGACTTATAAGGGACTATGAGAGTTAAACAGGACACGATAGGTGATGATTTTCGATTCTTAACCGTTGACTACAAACGACTCGTCCCGAAGATGGAATAATCCGACTACAGATGACTCGTCCCAGAGATGGAATAATCCGACTACGACGACTTTGTCTTTGCATAAACTTTGCATGAACACTTGCAACACGTTCAATGACCAACTGAATATAATTTTTTGCGATCATTATGGAAATATTTGGTGACTTCCGATCAGTTAAAGGTACTGCAACGCTAGATCTTCCGAAATTGTCGACTAGGTTGTGGCAGTGAAATATAAATTCAGACGAGTCGTCTGTAATTAAGGATTAAAATAATATACACAGTCTACTATCATTTCGTCTAGGATTTAATACGTTAAATCTAGTATCAGGTGTTGCTGTGTTGAATATTTCATGCCACGGTTATTTAAACATTTGTACAAGGTGTACACCTGTAATTATATAATTACAAATTAATGTCTAAAAGTAGAGTTAAGTTCTCAAGGCAAAAAGTCAGTCAACGACCGAAGCAGTCCGGAAACGTATAAGCTTTCTTACATCACGGTCACTGCCTACTTCCTGCGTTCTCCCTCCCTTATTTGTGGAACGAATACTAATTGATTTACCTTGCACTCCGTTCTATTCATATAGCACACTTCTTCAAAGAGCTACTTATATAACGTTCCAAACCGAAAAATTCATCATCCACGGAAATGCCATTGTATAATTTACACAAGGGGTAATATCATCCCCAATCCAGATATCAAATGAAACCCCCATCAATTAACACTACGACGACCAACCAGTGATTGTTCATATGCGATTGAAACAAATACCATTGGCTTCAGAAGAAGAAAATCGTAAGGGAAAGTCTTAAAGATATTCATAAAAACATTTTCCATGAACCTGATCTTAGTCACGAGTTGTAATTCAGGACATATTTGTGTGTGAAAAAAATGATAGATACGTGCTCCCATTCACACATTTCACCCACCACTGTCATATACCCGCTAGTGAGTTTGGCAGGCGCTGAGTTGTCCATCACTGTTCCAGAGGGTTAATGTTCGTCAACAGAGCCAAAACAACCATCCCTAAGAAGTATTCTCCATCAGAATAGCTCCCGCGAACAAATCCCCATTGAAACATTCTCTTTCTCGCGAAACTTCACAGGATCCTGGCATCGGAACGTGTTTTCCACGCGACAGAAAGTCTCCCAGAGCCGCGGCCGGCTGGCATCAGAGAAGACTTTTCTATTCTCCGTTCCGCAATGATCCCTCGTCGCGGACCGTCCGCGTGTTTTCAGCCGGCTGAAGCTAGTAAACTGGGACAGGTCTTTCCGTGGCAAGGGTCTGATTAAAAAGCCGCGGCTGGTACGTTCTCCCTACTCCTCTGTCTCCACGGCGAGAAATTTATTGCCGGCGCGTGGAGGACTTCAAAGCCGGCTCACGGGCGGCAAAGAAAACTTTTCCACAGGCTTGGGGGGCCACCGGGCGAATGTCCACAGGGGGAGAAAAACTGGGAAAAACAAGTTCGACTCCCGGGTGGCCAGGCGAGAACGATTTACGTTGGAGGGGAGGATAGGGTGACGGTGAACGACGACGGGGTGAAGTCACCCTTAAATAATGCAGAAACGACCGACGTCGCGGACACCCGTTCTCTGTCAACCGTGTCGAGACGAGGCACCAACGTCGTCGTGCCGACGCTTATAGTTTCGTTCTTTATTTCCGTGTGGTATGTAGCCGCGAAATACAACAGGGAACGGAGATTTTATGGGTATGGGGTGGTGGTAACGTTTCAACTTAACGCCTCGATGGCCCCTGTCGCGGATAGGTGACTTCAATCTTTCAACCCTTGTTTCCCTGGGGATGGAATGTAGTAGACAATGTGAGTTACGAAATGGTCGTCGTGGTATTCCAGCCAGTTTTAACCCCCAGACACAGCACTTGGGTAGATGTCCCAATTACTGTCACCTTAAGAGGTCTCCCTACTGTGTAAAAAATTTAGCGAAATTCAGGAATTTTTTTAGTCTTAGAGTTGTTCTGTTTTAAAGAGTGTACGAATACTTTTTTTTACCCACTGTACAAGGTATAAAATACGTACAAGTGCCTGATGGGTTGGTCAGACGACCAGGCCCCCCCAGAGAAAAATTCTAGTTACGCCAATGGAAACGTGACTCCATAAACGTTCTCAGAAATGTTCATCTGTTATGAAACAGCAGCATCGTATATCGATCGCCACGAATTAGATATATTGAACTTGATCCCGTTCGCTGGCTGGCAAAGCATCGATATGTTCAGCTGGTGAGTGAACTCGCCTTGCGCGCGATTTAATGATAGAACACCGCTGGACGCGTATATTCGCTCTTGAACCTGATAGTAATAATAGAATTACGCGATAATAACCCGCGGGAAACACCATCGCATCGCGTCTGGCCCTGTAGCTAAACCGCCTCTTTACCTTCGGTCGCGTCACGCCAAAGAGACCGCCGACGCACGTCGTTGTTCACGCGTGCTTGGAAGAGTATGAGAGAAGAAAAAAAAGGGTAGAGAACGTCGGAGGGGTCACGTAATTAACCGCACGAGCCAACGATCAAACGTTCAGATAACAAACAATTTTCTATTACAGTGACTCATTGATTGGCCACGGTCTGGGAGACCTGGGAGGTTCTGCCTCGAGCTTAGAAAATATCGTTACGTCCCTTTTATCGTTGATAGTCCGCGATTAGATTTGATCATTTTTGATCTGATACCTTCGGCGAACCGTAATGGGACATTCGAGGTGCTATTGTTGGATTATTTTAATAGCTGAATATAAAGTACCAATGTTGTTCGTATAATGGCAGAATAAACTGTTATTACTGTCGATTAATAATATTGTTTTTAGGGTGATACTGAATGGGTAATTTTGTCAGATTATGTCGTTGACGAAAAAATTGTAGACATTCGTATTAGTCGCTCGACCAATTTCATATGAATTTTTCGTTCGATGAAATATCAATATCCATGCACAAAGACCGAATACATCGATTAATTATGCAGTCCACCTAGCATTAAAATTTCAGTGATTTATGTAACACAGTTTCGTAACTGTATCACGTTAATAGTATGAAAATTATAATCAGTAAATCACAAACTATTACAATATTACAACATTAATACTTCACTTCACTATTTTATATTTTACACAGCAATGATTATTAATAAATATTCTTACCACTACATAAATCTAAATATAACTCTGAAATTATTATTTTGTATAAATACTTCGGTTAATTAAAGTTGATTATACGGTCACTAACGCTCTATGCATGATTCTCAATTCCCTCAAAGTCACAATTGCTTGTTTTAAAATAAATGGTTAAACGATATCCTGTATGTACCTATTCGACGATTTCATTTTCGAGGATAACAAAACTGTTTCCGATTCGTTCGCGATTCGACGCACGTTTTTTGAATCGATACGTCCGCTTTCCCCGACACCGCGAATCCCTTCCGCACACGAGTGAGAAAAGCCAATTAGCCCGACGTTCGGTCAGTGAACGCTACCGGCGGAAAGCCGATTAGCAAACCGACAATCAATAATATGTTAACTAGACGCGCGCCGTAACTACGAGCGTTAAGCTTGCAATTTCCCGGACGGCACTCGATTTTTGTCGCGGTCGCGGCCACGGATTTGCTTCCCGATAAGCACGCCACACTTCGTAAGTTAACAGTAACACAATGTTAAACCTACCAATGAATCACTGTAGATATGTTATTAACACTAGAACTACCGACGATAAACGCGTATTTAGAAATTTAGAAATTGGCTAATTTCTTCACTTTCATATCGTAAAAAAAGGTGCAAAAGATCTGAGAAAATTCATGAAAAACTAACACTTAAAATCAAACTAGAATTTACTCTAAAAAGGGCTCTTAGTAATAACCGTGAATATTTTGGTTGCCCACGCAAAGGTTAAATTAAATGGTTAAAAACTTTCTATAAATCCGATCTTTGAAAACTGATGACCCGTCTCGTGTAAAAGAATTTATCCCGTACAGGTAAGAAACGCTCGAGAGTCCCAGGAGACGACGGCGAGAGAATTTCTGACCGTTACGCGATAAGCTCGTTAAGTCGTCCGTCGAAAAACCGGCTGAGAAATCCTTCCCACCTACGCGGCGTTGATTGTACCGACGTTTATCGATGGAATGCAAGCACCGTTGAGAATGCAAGGTACACCAGTTCGTCGTGTCCAATATTTCTTTCGATTTCCCTCTTCGTACTTTCACCGTTCGCGGCGGTGCCCAGCGACGGAGACAACCGTCTCACGAATACGCGAACAAATTGTAAGAAAAAATTCAATA